CCAATCATGCTTGAATGGTAAGATAAAATAAAAAAAAACTTTAGTAATGTAATTTGATCAAATAATCACTCACATAAGTTATTCCAAATTTCACAGTGTTTCTGGAACATTGCAACCAACCAGAATGTTTACTGCTCTGCTCTCTAACCTTGAAAGTGTTGTATTCTTTTGATGACTCTACTATCGTAACTGCTGATTAGTGAGGGTATCCTCATCACTGATCAGTGGCCAGCTGATAGTATAAGCTTTACCGATCCCCACTGATCTTTTACTGTCTAAAGAAGACTTACGAACGTTTTTTGAGGTAGTGTTACTCACTGCCGTTCTGATTAACTATGAACATTTAAATTCAATCTCTTACTGATCAGTTTCCTCTTTGGATATGAGAGAATTATCCCAATCACTATCCAGAAAAATCAAAGTCTCCAAGCTTTCACTTTGGTAAAATAGTGTAACCGGGATAATACCACGATAAATTTATATGGTGTTTGTATGAACTAATGATTCCTTTGTACTTGATGATTACTGGATTTCGAATTCCAAATACGAATAATATTTAACTTTTCAGTCTTCAATATCGTAATCGAATCTCGAGCTGCATGTTCACGTTATCTGATGATCTTCAACACGTATATAGCTAAATTCACGTCTTTTTAACTCCATGCCTCTTTTAGCAAGCCCAGGCTCTGGCAATTTTGTGTTATTTGATACCCCCATAACCAGCCTTACGAAAGGCATAAGTTACAAACTTGATTTTCGGATAACCAAGCTGAGAATAGTACTACTGGCAAAGCGATTTTCATGATTGTTTCTATCATTCATTACTTTATGATTTTTTATTACTGCATATTGATTTCTAGCTAATCTGACTGTCTTCAATAATGAGAGTCAACTCTCTAAATTCCGGTTCCCTATCAGCAATCATAATTTTGTGAGGTTCCCTCCTCACCTCTCCTATAAGTTCAAAGGTATATGCGATACTATCGAATGCGAATTAGCTTAAGAATTCAAATCAGGCACATAACTTGTCCGTATCAGCGCTTTACTCATCTTGAGGGGCTCGATTGTACAGCTAGTCAGGTTGTTGACTTAACGTAAAATAGGTTTGCGTTCGGGTAAGTTTGATATAGACACACGATCTATTATATTCTCTTTCACAAACAAATCATACAATATTTGCTTTGCTCTTCCGTAACCTAAATTACAGGGCGGGGAGACACATGCTTCATGAGTTGTTCTGTAACAATCGCAATTTAAAGTTATCTATAAAATTGACATGAAATCCTCTTGAACGAGGTAAATGCTGGTAGATCTACTGTAAAGTTGAGAGCATTATCATGAGCTTAGCTCTAGACTTAAATGAGACCACAGAGGTGGACCCCACCAGGGAAGGAGATAAGCATATGGATATAGGCATTTTCACAAGGAAAAGGAAGAAGCGCATTGAGATGAAGAAACTACCTATGGACAGCACTGAGGCATATGAATATGCGGGCTTAGTTCCGGATTCACATATCAATGCTATACAAACTATAGGGGAGCCAAGTCTGAGTACTGTAGAGAATGTGATCACGAGACAAAATAAGGTAAATGAGTGGCTCACAGCCACTCCGAAGAATTGAAAAGTAAGAAAATGGAATGCAACTTTTGCTCTTGACGCTGAATTGAAATCGGATTGCAGGGTAGAGACGACATCATTAACTAAAATTCCACAACGTGTCAAGACGGACCTTGCTGGGAGGTCAGTCGTTTTTTATAAGTTAAGCGAATCCCCCGATAAGGAACCAAAGGCTAGATTTCAGCACGACCTCAGTCATATCAAGTCTTAATAAGCAAGCTACTCCTAGAAACAGTTTCAGGAGTTAGCATCTATAAGCTTTATAGAATAGGAAAAAAGGTCGACTTTGAAAGTCCTCAGAAAGCCGCCTCTTGAACGTTACATTTGCCACAGTTGAAGAAAGGAACCTAATTCTAGGTAACACGTAAACTGATTGGATCCGAAATATACGCCCGTGAGGATCTCATCCTAGCTAATCGTATTAAGAGACAAACTGAAGGAGTGGAAGCAAATAAGCGCCGCCGAAACGGTGAAAGAAACATCGTTCATAAGGATTCTCAAATTAAAAAAGTTCAGAGCAAGACGATCCACAAACTACTCTGAGTGGTAAGGGAAAGATCTCCACAGAATTAAAGGTGTGCCACACAAATGCTCACAGCCTACTAAGTAAAATGGCGAAGCTCATGACAATGGTGGATAAAGAAAATTTGGATATTAATGCTGTCTCGGAAACATGGTTAACGTCAGAAGTGTTCGGTAATGAAATTCGGTTGACTGGTTTTTTATCGCATAGGACTGATAGCTTAAACCGTAGGGGAGGCGGAGTTATCCTGTACACGAAAAGTACCTTAACCACACGAGCAGTTGAGACAGTGTCGCATGATTCTGGGACATGTGAACTGGTGCGTTGCGAGCTGAAATGTAGACGGCATGATATCGAATTATTTGTGGTACATGGCAGTTCAGAATGTGTAGTAGATTACTTCCTCCTAAAGAAACTTGATTCCTGGTGTATTAGGAGTAAAAACCTTATAGTAAGCGACTTTAATTCACCTTATATAAGCTGGGTAAATTTAGAAGTAGGGTCATCGACAACGTCATTCGATCTCGAACTGTCAGAAACCTGGATTGCATTAGCTTTATTCCAACACATTAGGGATCCCACAAGATATGACTTAAGAAGCCCCTCCTATCTTTTGTATTTAGTCTTTACACACGGTGATGACGTCGGTCAAAAGACCCTTCCCTCATCACTAGGGGGAAGCAATCATGCAGTTATATTATTTAAATTCATGGCTCAGATTGCCTATCAAACAGTTGTGCAGGCCCGCCCTAATATATGGAAGGCAGATATGGGGGCAATCAACTCCGCAGCATCGGCTGAAAACTGGCAAATTGACTCCAGGACATCAGTACAAGAAGCACGGAATAATTACAGGCAGTTATACATTCGGTTAACTCAGCCATACATAATCTGGACACTCCCAAACAATAAGAAGCACGACCATCCCTGGATAGGCCGGGATATTCGACGTTCACTAAGGCAAAAGAAGAATGTTGCTGTCAGCCTTGGCACAGCAGGTACGACAGAACGCTACAGGTCTGTGCGAAACACGTGTATAATTAAATTTCGGGAAGCTCAGAGAAAATATGAAATGCATTTGACACAATCCACACGCAGGCAGCCCAAGAGAATATTCTCGTACATAAATTACAGAACAAAAGTGAGTCATTGGATTCCCAACCTACTTGAGGAAGGGCATGAATCTTAAATGATAGAGGAAGATCACGAAAAATTAGGGGCTGTGGCTAACTATCTCGGGGTAGTTTTCACTCGGGCCTCTTCTAGACAATTAACCAGACCCAAATAAAGAGTCAACAAACCACCTGCTCCTCGTGGACTTTGATTAAGACGAGGTACTTAAAACTCTTAGCACCTTAGACATGGAAAAGTCAATAGGACTAGATGAACTACACCCCAAAATCTTGAGACATATTGCACAATATATTGAGGCCCCACTGACTGTGATATTCAACATATCACTTGGCCAGAGTGTGTTACTTATGTAATGGGGAGATGAAATCGTCACTCACATACATAAAACAGGACCAACACAAATTCCATGGAACCACAGACCTGTAAGCCTCACCAGTGTTGTCGTTAAAATAATGAAAAGAATAGCCAAATAGACTATAATGACATTTATGGTTACCAATAACCTGTTAAACAGAGAACAGCATGGTTTTAGGACGGGTTTATCTTGTACAAGAAACCTCCTTATAGGAAGGGGTTATTGGATAAAGGCGCTAGACAACGGAAACTCAGTGGATGTTGTCTACAAAGACTTCAGTAAGCCTTTTGACAAAGTGCCAACTAGAAGACTGCTATTGAAGTTAGAAAATCTTGGTATTGCTGGAAGTTTTCTAAAATGACTTGAGGATTTCCTAGTATATCGTGGACGGAAAGTAAAAACAAATTCGAAGTTTTCCACCTGGAGACCAGTACTTAGTGGAGTACCTCAAGGTTTTGTCCTAGGTCCTTTACTTTTAATACTGTATATAAAAGATCTCCCAAGTATAGTACGGTCCCCAATGTTATTATACGCTGACGATGTAAAGTCTGGCGAGACGCAGGCAGACTTAAATAATGTGATTAACTGGTCTAAAGAGTGGCTGATGCATATCAATGCAAGATGTATCTACATACATTTTGGGTATACAAAGGTTAATAGGTGCAGCATAGGGGAAGTGCCATTACCCGTGATCCGGTCTCATAAGGATCTTGAGGTGACAGTGAGTCATGATCTTAAGAGGACGGCCCATTGCCGGGAAGTCTCAGCTAACTGGTTTAGAACGCTCTGGGCTTTGAAACGGACATTCATCAAGCTAGATTCTATCATGTTCACTAAAGTATACACAACATTAGTGAGAACTAAGCTTGAGAACTGCGCTCAGGCTCCAAGCCCCTGTTTAGTAGGTCACACGGATATCCTGGAAAATATGCAGAGGGCAGCCACCCGTGCAATTTCCCAACTCCTAAGTTTATAATACAAAGAACGGCTTGAAAAGCTGGACCGCTTTACTCTGTCCTATTGCAGACTGAAGGGAGATTTAATATTGATGTATATAATGCTAAGAAATCATTTCAGGCCTAACATATTCTCCTTTTTTCTTCCCACTAGATCGGGACATCTCATAGAACATAGCAGGCGAGTATAAAAGCCAAGAAAGAACAAAGCATACAGGTTTTCACACTGAGTATTAAAAACTTGAATCCTGTTACTTGAAGCACTGGTGTCCGCACCAACAGTTGACTCTCTCAGGAGAAAACTACGCACTTACAGAAACATACTGGAATAAAACAACATAGTTTGTAGACCTTCTGTCCTTACTACACATATTTGAATCTTTTTGTTGTTTAGACACACTACTAATGAAGGCCGAGTAAATTCCTCCTAGTTCGGATGTAGTTCGCGTAACACGTTCGAAGTTGTTGGCATCAACGGTAAAAGTATAGTATGACGACAGTCTTGAGTTAACCGATCGAAATTCATATAATACCTCAATTATTTTGCTGAAAGTTTAATGCTTAGTGTTGAGTAACGTATATGTCATTAACTTAGCGCTAATTTCAAAAAGGGCAGTGATTTTTGTACTTGTTGTGATTATACTTGCTTTTGGTACTTATTGCACTAAAAAGCATTCTTGGTCTACTTTAACTAAGAGTTCTTTGGTTAAAGTTTGAAATTTTTTGCTACATTTTGTCCTGGGTACCTGTTTTTAGTCCTTGACTAAGACCTGTGTTCACATTGTTATCGTTTTTTGTTTTTAAACCTTTTAAATCGAATTACAATGGTTGGTAAGACTCACAAATGTGGGCAACCAAATTGTTTGTTCTCCGTTGATGAGGGAATGCAGTGTGACGACTGTAAAAAGTGGTATCACAAAATGTGTACACGACTAAGTCCGACGGCTTATAAAAGATGCTCGAAGCCTAACTCGCATTGGCTTTGTGTGTTCTGCTGTACGGATAAAAAGGTACTAATACAGGAGGCTATGGGCCTATTGGCTTTGGCCTGCAAGAAAAACGATGGTGGAAGCACTGATAACAGGAGTACTGACGATGAAGAATGTGTCAGTGTAGTAAGTGCTGCTACTGGACCCATTAAACACCTGACTGCGGTTGACGGAAACGTGAAATCTCCGTTGACATTAACGAGAAATGAAGTGTCGCCTGATATTGACATCGGCAGTCATACACCCCTAGTCGAAATAGAAGATCCGGATAAAACTGTCACCGTTCCACATAGTCCAGGTGTGGCTGTTCTGAGTGGTGACAAATGGACTCCGGTAAGAAGAAAAAAAAATAAGAAGAAAAAGGCTGTAGGCAAAACGCAGCTGGTCAGCAAGACATTGGAAGGGACTTTATCAGAAGAAAAATCCTCACCGCGTGAAAAGACAGATCTCTCTGAGAGATCAGTCATTTTTCATAAGATAAGAGAATCTTCAGACACTGAACCAAAGGCAAGATTTGAACATGATCTCAATCATATTAAGACATCATTAAGTAAACTACTCCCAGATACAGTTTCAGGAGTTAGTATTTGTAAGCTTTATAGAATAGGAAAAAAGGTGGATTCCGAAAGTCCTCAGAAAAACCGCCTCCTAAAAGTTACATTCAACACGGTGGAAGAAAGGAACCTGGTTCTAAGTAATTCACGTAAACTGATTGGGTCCGGAATATATGTCCGTGAGGACCTCAGCCTAGCTGATCGTATTAAGAGAAGGGCTGCAGAAGCGGAAATAAACGAGCGTCGCCGAAATGGTGAAAGAAACCTCGTTCTTAAGGGTTTTCAGATTGTAAAAGTTCGGAGCAAAACGATCCCCAAGCCACTCTGGGTGGCAAGGGAAAGCTCTCCACAGACTTAAAAGTGTGCTACACAAATGCTCGCAGCCTACTAAATAAAATGGCGGAGCTGAAGTCAGTGGTGGATAAAGAAAAACCGGACGTTATCGCTGTCTCGGAAACTTGGTTAACGTCAGAAGTATTAGATAGTGAAATCCAATTGGCTGGTTTCATAACCAGTAGGGCTGATAGATTAAACCGAAGGGGAGGCGGGGTTATTGTGTACACGAAAACTAGCCTAACCATAAGATTAGCTGAGACAGTAGCACATGTTTCAGGGACATGTGAACTGGTGAGATGTAAGTTGAAATGCCGAAGGCAAGATATTGAATTAGTTGTAGTTTATCGCAGTCCCGAATGTGTAGCAGATGATTTTCTCCTCAGTAAACTTAAGTCCTGGTGTAACAACGGTAAAAGCCTTGTAGTAGGCGACTTTAATGCACCATATATAAACTGGGTTAACTTAGAAGTAGAGTCATCTATATCGTCGTTCGACTCCAAACTGTTAGAAACCTCGATTGGACTAGCATTATTCCAACACATTAGAGATCCCACAAGGTACGACTTAAGAAACTCTTCTTCTCTTTTAGACTTAGTCTTTACACACGGTGATGACGTTGGTCAAAAGGCTTTTCTCCCACCACTTGGGAGAAGTGACCATGCAGTCATCTTATTCAAATTCATGGCTGAGATTGCTTGTCAAACAATTGCGCCGGCCCGTCCTAACATTTGGAAGGCAGATATGCAGGCAATTAACTCCGCAGCATCGGCTGAGAACTGGGAAATTGACTCAAAGGCATCAATACAAGAGGCATGGACTCTATTCAGACAGTTATACAATCGGGTAACTCAACCATATATACCCTGGACTGTCCCAAAGAAAAAGAAGCACGGACATCCCTGGTTAGGGCGGGATATTCGACGCTTACTAAGACAAAAGAAGAAATGCTGGGATGTTGCCATACTCCTTGGCACAGCAGGTACGATGGAACGCTACAGATCGATAAGAAACGTGTGTCTAACTAAAATTCGGGAAGCGCAAAGAAAATACGAAATGCAGCTGGCAGAATCTGCACTCAAGCAGCCCAAGAGGATATTCTCGTACATAAACTACAGAACAAGGACTCATCACTGGATTCCCAACCTAATTAAAGTAGGAAGTAAATCTGAAATGATAGAGGAAGATCAGGAAAAAGCTGAGATTATGGCTGACTACTTTGGGGCAGTTTTCACTCAGGAACCTCCTCTAGAGAAAGAACCAGACCCAATTACAGAGTCAACAAACCAGCTGCTCACCGTGGACTTCGACCAAAACGATGTGCTTAAGGCTCTTAGCACCCTAAACATGGAGAAGTCAACAGGACCAGATGAACTACACCCTAAAATCTTGAGACATATTGCCCAATATATCGCAGCCCCACTGACTGTGATATTCAAAATGTCACTTGACCAAGGTGTGTTACCTATGGACTGGAAGGACGCAATCGTCACTCCCATACATAAAACTGGTCTACGACAAGTTCCATCAAATTACAGACCCGTAAGCCTCACCAGTGTTGTAATTAAAATACTGGAAGGGATAATCAAACGGACCATAACGGCATTTATGGAAACCAATAACTTGCTGAACATGGCACAACATGGTTTTAGAAAGGGTCTATCCTGTACAACGAACCTCCTTATAGCTAGGGAGCTCTGGATTAATGCGCTAGACAACGGAAACTCAGTGGATGTTGTCTACATAGACTTCAGTAAGGCTTTTGACAAGGTGCCAACTAATAGACTGCTATTGAAGTTGGCAAACCTTGGTATTGCCGGACCTCTTTTAAAATGGATTAAGGATTTCCTAGTAGGTCGTAGGCAAAAAGTAAGAATAAATTCCAAGTGCTCCATCTGGAGACCAGTACTTAGTGGAGTACCCCAAGGTTCCGTCCTAGGTCCTTTACTTTTTATAATGTACGTTAATGATCTTACAAGTATAGTACAGTCTCCAATGTTATTATACGCTGACGATGTAAAAATTTGGCGAGTAATAACTGGTGACACAGACGCATTTACTCTTCAGGCGGACTTAAATAATATGATAAACTGGTCTAAAGAGTGGCTAATGCCTATCAACTCGGAAAAGTGTGTCTACATGCACTTGGGGGATTCAAAGGTTAATACGTACAACATAGGGGATGTGTCATTACCCATAGTCCGGTCTCATAAGGACCTAGGGGTGACAGTGAGCAATGATCTTAAGACGACGGCCCATTGCCGTGAGGTCGCAGTTAAGGGGTTTCGAACCCTCTGGGCTTTAAAAAGGACATTCACTAAGCTTGATACTACCATGTTCACCACATTATACACATCCTTAGCGAGAACTAAGTTAGAGAACTGTGTTCAGGCTGCAAGCCCCTGTTTAAAAGGTGACTCAGACATACTAGAAAAGGTACAGAGGGCAGCTACGCGTGCGATTCCGGAACTCCGGGGTTTATCATATGAAGAGCGGCTTGAAAAACTGAACCTCTTTACTCTGTCCTATCGCAGACTAAGGGGAGATCTAATATTGATGTACAGAATACTAAGAAATGATTTCGGACCTAACTTATTCTCTCTCTTCCTTCCCACTAGATCGGGACACCTCAGAGGACATAGCAGGCGAGTAGAAAAGCCAAGAACGAACAAAATACCCCTGGCATACAGGTTTTCACACCGAGTCATCAATACTTGGAACCTGCTGCCTGAAGCAGTGGTATCCGCACCTTCAATTGACTCTTTCAAGAGAAGACTGGACACTCACAGAAGCATACTAGAAAAGGAATAACATAGGCCGTAGGCCTTCTGTCCTTACTACACAAATCTGAATAGCCAATGAATACTGGTAATATTTAAATATTATCAATCGGTTATTAGAATGTTTATAATCACTGAGAATATCTATTATACAGTGACAAAGTTAATTCTAGATGGTGCATTAGCTAAATTAAATGATATATTGTTTCTAAATCAGACCTTCAGCATACCAAATCTAATTCACCGTCTAATCACGAGCGTTTAGTAAAGTTAGATAGTGTTCTCCCCTTCTCTATCATGCTCCAAATCTCACAAGTTTGCAAACAAGAAAGTGGCACAGTATGGCGTTATATCTGACGTTAGTTTTTGTTGAAAACTGATACGAACGCGTTAACCCAATTCCGAACTCCAGTTTAACTCTTACTAACTAACCGCTTTTGCTTCATAGATGATGTCGGTTGGTGATGAAAAATCTATAGGGTAATAACCCTAACTCTCGATAATAGCTCAGCTTCTAGTGTGTACGTATACATGTAGACTTAATCTCTTTTCTTTACCCAAAGGGATAATATGACTTGTGAGGGTTAGTTATTACGATCAAAGCTGTCATTCCACTAATATTTCATTACTTTGCTTTGCTTATTGTTTTGTAACGGCTCAGTGTCTCATGATTGGATGATAAGTTGTTCAAGGTCGTCATCGTAATTTAATTTCACCACATCAACTCGTTTCGATTAACAGATTGTCGCACTCGTATTATTTCTGATTGTTGTCAAATGCTTTTGTTATTAAATGCAAATGAATTCTGTGTGCCTAGTGAGTCGTCGGCCCGTTTTTTATCATGTTTTTTGCTCCTGTTGACCTCACTTACTACTCCTAACACTCCCCCAAACACAAGATGCCTTCAGGCTATACTCAAACCTACTAAAGACTGAACGTTATATTGCATGTAGTATAGTGGTGTGGCGACTCTTGGTGTTTGTATACTTCGAAAAATAACTAACTGACCATTTAATGCGGAGTATTACAATAAGCGTCAAAGGTTCAAACTGTCTCACTGAACCTCCCAAAGATGTTTTATCATCAAAAGTTTTGCAAATGAATCTATTCTAAAACTTTTTCCACCCCCACTTTTAATTACGAAATTGTCTCAAATTAACGATTGTACAGATTCCCATGTGTATACTTTCAGCAATCCTTCAACATCAACGTTTATATGGCTCAGATACAAGACTATCATAATCTGGACTCTAAATTTGGTTGTATAGGCAAGATTTGACGTGTTCTATGTTATGATGATGTGCACATCCTTTTATAGAGATTGTACAATACACTTTGGGTGCATATAAACTCTCGGATAATATTTTCTCTCCAAATAAGATTGTGTGACTTTAAAAGCATATTGTGTTACGCATACACATGTTTATATTTTCCAGTTGCTTTCGTTAATAAATAGATTGTTGACTGACACTTTCATGTTTTCTCTCAGATTCTCGCTCTAAAACTGCGAAATGCTCTCATGTTAAACCCGAACCTGCTAGCAACTGAACCTCGCTTAAATGTCATTCACAACTGAACGCTTACGTCAGTCCGTTCTCAGAGAGTTCGGAAGGGTCTTCTCTCTGGTAAAGTAACTTTCAACTCATGATGATTAGATTGTAGTTGCCAGGGCAGAAGATTCTTCTTGTGGATGCACAGCTGTTGAAAGCAATCGACCGTGTGGCCAGCATGTCCATTTTAAGACAGTTGTCGGTCACAAAGGTGTTTAAAATTGCCGAAAGTCCTCCGAAGGCGGACTATGAGAGGTAAGTTAGTTTTCTTCAAGGTGTATTTGTTTTTGTTGGATAACATAGCTTTCCTGTAGTATTTTGAACCAGCTGTATTACCACGATTGTTTAAGCAAGCAAATGGCGTATCAAATTGAGTTGATATATATTTATGGCATGCCCTGCGTTGTACATTATTGACTGATTTAGGATATGACTAAAAACGAAAGGCCCTCATTTCCGATGCTGAAGAACAGGATCTCGAGACACTTAAGTCCTTGTCGATCGGATTTGTGACTAGATAATTTATCTTGAATGCTAGGAAGTTTAGCAGTAAGCTTTCTCCAATGACTCACTATAACCTTTTGTCTTCATCTACATTTTTATTTCTGGGAAATTCGCCAACCAAATTTGATGATAAATTCCATCGTATTAAACTGCCAACTAACCTTTGATGGAGTTGTAACTACGCATCAACCTCTGACCAATTTTGGACATAGCACTGCTTCGGCCCGCTCTGGGGATCAATGTGCTCCCAAAGTTCGTTCAGTCAATTAAATATTCTATCTTGGTGTTAAAACTTCAAAGTTTACTCGTAGTCTAATTACTCATCACATTAAGCCAGCTAAAGTGAAGACAAAGACTCTCTTTCACATCCTCCTGTCCATGAACTACGTATCAAATCACCACCTCAGTACCAAGTTTATTTCCATCAGTCATAATGATTATTCTATGCGTTTGCAGATTAACACAGCTCTCAACATCAAGTCTTGGTGATTCACAGGTGCATAGAATATCTCAGGTACTTATCTTCGTATACTTAAGGCATCTTAGGGACTGAAATTTAAACGAGTTCTATATGCTTTTGTCTTACAGTTTCACTAATATGATATTTTTTATCCGATTTAGGATTGCTTATATGGTCCCACCAGAGTTTAGCTCATGCTTATCGGTAATTAAACATTGTGAAGTGGATCAATCGAATAATATCAAACGAACGAGATTGATAATATTTGTTCCCAAAGAGGTATCTAACGTTTCTGTGGTTAATTGCTTAGAGCATTTATATATTACACACTTTTCTGCCTGATTTTCTAAGGACTCTTCTCTCGAGTATTTGTTAGTGTGATTTCTGGGTTAAGTACGCAAGCACTCGTCATATACTTGGCAATTTATGTGAAAATACGACACTTTCGCTTCGTATCCCTTTTAATTTACTATCTAGAAAGGTTATTTAAACAAGCAACAAAATTTTTAAGTGAAGAATATAGGGAAAGCCTAATCATCATCCATATCCTGAAAATTTGTTATTTTAGGCTAAAGAAATGGATTTCCGCTACACCACAATGTTTTACTTTCATGCTACGATCGACAAACATAACTGTAGATATAATCGTTAATTTTATATAATTAGACTTTAGTTTCATGCACTTCATCATGATTCATAGCTGATTATCAATTTAAGTCTTCTTATCCATTAAACTGGTAGTTTCATATTTGACAGTCACGTAGATATCTATTACTGGATGAGAGTTTTAACTAAGTTAGCAAAACTTAACAGTGGATAAAAGTTTCAGCTTTCAGCCACAAAGTCGCAAGTTTAAACCACACTCCACCTACTTCGGTTTGGGCAACTGAGTAGTATCATCACCCTTCATACTTTGTGTGGCTGATACCCAAATACCTTAAGAATGAGTTATTAACCATATTATTCATTCCTCGTGTAAGGGATTATCGGGGTGAAAATCATATCCCTAAGAGTTGAACGAAACATTAAACTGAGACTGATCGCTTAATCAAAAAATAAATTGAACAATTGGGAGACATCACTACTATCCGCATAGAAGATGAATTAATGGCATGTTTTGGTGTATGCTCTTTGCTCACCAACGTTCCTATTAAGAAAGCTCTAGATATTGTACATAATCTCTTAGATTCTGACACAGCTTAACGATGTCCATTAGGTCCCTGAGATAATATTAAAGTGCTGGATCTATGTTTACATTCAACTGTTTTCAATTTTGGATGAGATCTGTACAGACAAACAAAGGGTATAGCTTTGGGATCACTGGTTTCTCCAATTGTTGCTAACTTATCCATGCATCCATTGAAAACAAATGCAACCTCAATGTGCTCCCTTCCACTAAAAGTCTGGTTGAGATACATGGATGACACTTTTATCATTATAAAATGAGATGGTTTAAAAGAAATTTTTAGGCAAGTCAACAGCGTTTCTGACAAAATCAAATTCATAAGGAGTTGGAATCTTCTGAACGCAAATAACCTTTTCTAGACTGTTTGGTTGAAAAGAAAAATAACGATTGTTTGAAAATTAATGTATTCCGATAGCCAACATATTCAGGGATATTTTTAGGTTATAAGTCAGCACATCCTACACATATGGGCAAATCCAAACAGTATTAATAGGAGAGATGGAATAAAATTAGTTGTACCATGGTAACTAATAATTAATGAGTAAACCTGAACTCCTTATTCCATTTTATCTATCTTATCATATGAATAACACCAATTACATTCAACGCTTTTAATCAGTTGTCTTATTTGAATATGTTAAACAATTAACTGGAACAATGTTAATAACACGAACATTCATTTACAAATACATTCTTCCTCTTTAATTCATGCCTTTATTTTGTTTATTTATCTTCATTTTATACATGCTATGACATATATGATTCATATCATATATAAGACTTGTATATTTTCACCGATCAAAGGCAATATATAGTGAATAAAATTTCTTCTCACACTACTTACAAATACACAAATCTGTTATCCTAACACACTTCATTTCATATCACATGTCTCTTACACATTGAAGAGAATGCCAACTTTAAACATTGGTAACGTTGTTTGGATGACCTGCCTCGGTCTGGGCACCCGGGCAGTATCCCAACCCTCACACAAATCGAATGATTTACGTGGCGCATATGTATTTGGTGCCTCCTTGTACCAGTGTTTATGTGTTTAAATAAATAAATTTAGTACAGTCAACCAGAGAACCATGTATTTATTTATATTCGATAATTCTGATATTTGATTATATTTGCTTGAAAAAGCTTGAACTAGATTTCCGGGCGAAACGTTGTATTTGCTTCAGATTTATTCGCTAAGATTTTACAAGTACGTTATTCCTCTCTAATGGAAGAAAATGAGTTATTAAAAAAGAAGAAAAACTAATCGAGTACCAAACATGCAATAAACTTATGCACAGCAAATCAAATCTACCTCACACGTTTGATCAAAGAAAAAGTATTTATCTCCTTTGTTATTTCCGTCTTATCATGTTTTGCTCCCGATGTATCAACTAAATGTATGCTACTAACGATAAGGGAAACAAAATGAAGTGATCATGTATGGCGTTCACATGGTTCACATGCTCTAGGTGCTTTAAACTATCTACTAGCAACCAATCTCAATAAAATTAATATGTTATTTAATATTATTTAATGCTCGTAAATGTTAAGTGATTATTACTAAGAAAATATAGTCTACTACATGAATGTCTATGTGTAGTCACATTATAATTTAAGTAAACTCTTAGTCTAAACTTCGAGTTTAATTCTAACCTAAATTTGGTGAAAATTAAGCATACGATACTACCATTCCATATATTCTAATTTAAATATCCCGTTTTGATTTTAACAAACATTTTTTCATTTTTTAGACTGTAGCAGTGACCTATCTTTTGGAATCTCGAGGTTTTCTTGGTCGACATTTATGTACCACAAATTTATCACTCAGTTGGATTCAATTAGATACAGATTTGTTAACATTGAATTTGCCGACGCTATTTTCAGACTACTATTTATACAAAGATTATTGTTGGCCTCATTATATGGGCATGGAGTTGGGACGTTTGCTTAAATTAACGAGTGAAAGTGATTTAGCTCCCATGGGTTGTCGAGTAAGTCTATAATATTATTTACAAAAATATTGATGATAGATTACTCCTAGGTAAAATAAAAAAAAACTTGTTGTCATCGTAGTGTTTTACCTATAATAAGCATTTATATAATATGATTGTACAAACGGACCTTTTAAGCAGCTCACAAACAAATTAATTGTGCAAAACCAGAGACTAGTATGTTTGTATGATTTTTATGTTAGCCTATTGATGCCGCTTTTGTGATTAAACTTATTTGTCATTTCATCAGATTATCATGCTTTGTTATATTAACGTTGTCTGTATTTCTAATGGTTTTTGACTTTTTCGGGGCTTGTTTTGTCATTTCATTTGATATAATGTTACACTATGGCTTAATTAACTCTTTTGGAGATATTATTGTCCATAATCGTTTCATAGCAATCACACAATTTTTAGACTTAGTTTTTATCATCTCATTTTTTAATTCCCTGTTTGATTGGTGTAATGTGGTCTTTCAGATTCCTGAAAATAAGTAGTGCATCATCCTAATAGGATTCTTTAGTTGTTAACTACATAAACAATGATTTAGAAGTCGAATTATTTTTGGATTTATCTACATTACTTTCTAAATTTTGTTTCATCTCACCCTTCTATATCATAAAGTGTCTGTGAACATTATTGTAACTAAAATTTTGTTTCGATTACTGATTTTAAAAGTTTATCATTTTATCACTCGTACTTCAGTAATATTGAGTTCATATCTGGTAGAATATTCACTTCTGACATTTAAATGTGTAGGTAGAATTTTTCACTCTGCTAAGTTTTGGTTTAAGTTAACACGTAAATTTTATCAATATATTATAAATCACAGCTTTTTGAAGATTAAAAATTGAGTTTTTATTGTAAATTTATAACGTAATGTATTTGTAAAAACCTTTTAATAAGTAACTAAACTATTAGTGATAGCCTAGGTTAAAATGAGCTTTATTGTTGATCCACAGTTATAGGTCATAGGTAGGAGAGCATGACTTAAAATGTGTCGCACTAGTGTCAATGTACTTCCTTTCCTTACTCTAAGTAGTAAACATCTGATTACTACATATCCTCGATTCTATATCATAAGTTGATTCCATTCTTGTAATTCTTTGTAGAGGCTAGTATCCTCTATATCTGACTCTAATAAATAGTATCCCGTTAGCTGAGTATTTAATGCAGGCTAAATCTCCTAGTAGAATTATGAATTTACTCGAGATTATTCAAAAACCCGAACATCAGTTATAGAGATAGTTTATTGTTAAGGATTGGTAAAATCTGCAAGTGTACACGAAGCAAGCACACAGGTAAAACAAGAGTGTATGTGTGTGAGTGTGAGTGTTAAAAATCCATATATATTTTTATGTGTTAATCAAGTATGGATAAATTATTGATTGTCTGTGTATTACAGCCAATTGGAGAATAGATTAAAAATTGACATATGGTCAATCAGACTCACATAAAATTACATGGTGGATCAAGTGTCTAACTTACAATGAACAGATAGATAATACAGTAGTGGAATAGGCTTACTACACCTTTACCATCGTCAAGTCACTGTTGCCTCTTGTTTTCAACTAAAAATTTACCATAGCATGCTCAATTTATTCGAAATTATCAAATCAAACCTTGGTAATGATACCTATTTATCATAGCAGTTGTTCAACAGTAAATGTAGACATGTTTTATTAATCTTAGTGCTTGTCTTCACTAACCACTAGATTCATGCTTTCGGAGAGGCGTCCCATGTGGTTGCTGCTGGTATTCGTTTATACTGTATTCAGTCAGGTCTGGTCAGTTTGGATAGAAAGGTTTCAACTGTTAATGGTACCCAGCCAAATTATCGAAGTAATGTATCTGTTTCTGATGAAAGTGTCTTAACTCCTACCAGCTCATTAAAAATTCTGGGCTCACAATCATCATCTACATCATTGTCAACTACTTCTGCACGTCCACCACCTTTGGTTCTTGTATTCAGTCGTGGTTAGTTCTCATACATTCCCTTTTGTGATTCTTTTAAAAATAATACGGAAAATTAGTCATTATTTACATTGCCATAGAGTCTAATCAGTGTGAACCTTTTTTTCGAAATAAATTAGTAAACGGTGTTTTAAAGCCAGTATTCAAACGGTATGTATAATGGGTGTTCTTTTTCTCTTTCAAGAAGACGATGATCTGATTGGCAGGAAATACCATGAGGATACGATTACTTACAACTTTAAAGGATTCTACCCATTGCTAATTCTTTTTACGATAACGACATCTCATGATAGCTAAATCAAACACAACACTGATTCATAAAGTTACTGACCACTATCCTGAATTGTATGACTTGAGTTCTCAATTGAGATCATAGTGATGTTAAGAATCAGTAGTTTGAGAATATGATTTTTTTGCTTTTATTTCCTGAAGTCTTATTGCATTTTGTCTGCGTTACTTATCTACTCATTTTATCGTTATTCTTGTTCTCTATATTTTTCTACTGTTGAAAAATTTCAGTGTCTCTGCTTTTTGGTTTGTAGTGGTTTTTCAGATTATGTCAGTTCATAATATAAAAACTTTGAGGTTTATGAATGCCTAATAAGCTCTCCCAGCTAAAACTAATGGTTTCATAAAATACAACTTGCTTTAGACTTGGAACGGTGGTTTTCATTGTAAACAATAGAGACAAAATTATACTTTAAAAATAAATTTCTATCAAAACGACTGAAAAAGTAATAGTAAGTAAATAAATGCAACCTAACCAGCTCATGCTTTAAGGCCTTGAGCTTGATTTTTCAGTACTATAATACTAACCATGTAATTTTGATTCAAGGTAATGGCTGGTATTCTCACCTGCAGCTTCCATTCCGTCATGTGTAAGTTTAGCCATTTTATCAATATGTATCACAACATTTTTTAGTGTTTGCAATAATAATATATCCTAATATCCAACACTTCAAGCCTTAGTATTATCCATCTGATTGGTAGTAGGTATTAGTTTCCATTCTAGTTTGAAATCTCACTTTTTTAGCGGATTAAATCGAAAAGTGAATGGGGTGATGGTTTGAACTATTGCGTTGGAGTTTGGAAGCTATAGTCGATGAACTGCTGCTTTGCTACTGAAAATCTATATGAGTTATATTGTAAATCATGGGAGTTGTCTTCACAATTTGGCGCAAAATTCAGTGGATTATTGAATATTAACTTTTGTACATTAACGATATTATTGGTAAAACATGTTTGATTGTTACTATGGGACACAACTTTTTTGCTTTTTTCAATAATCAGTGAAAAAATAGGTTATAAAGGGATCACATCATTATTATACTAAACACACTTTTAAGAATTGAATAAAATAAATTTAACCACAGTTTTCTTCAAATAATCTGACATTGAGAATATATATTGCCATTTACGTAGTGTAAAATATTATTACTCTATTCTTCGGATAGTTCAATCCACAGTTCATGCACATATCTTTCTTGTTACGAACATTAACTGATTGTAGATTTTATTTCTATTTGATCCCACAGATCTGGATTACGTAACTCCCCTTTTGGTCCCAATGACATTTGAAGCTCTGATTCACGAAGTTGTTGGGATAGAATTAGGTATATTAACGTGCAGTTTTTATTTTTGCTTACTACTTATTTAACTATTTCTTCTTCACTATTAGGTTTCATCATTTGAAATATATAATCTTTTATCATAGAACTTTTACAGTTTAACTATGATGTACACAGCTGTACGTTGTATCCTTGTGTGCATATTTATAACTGCAGCTTACAAAATGTTCAGCTTGGCTTGACTATCCCATCGGAATTGTTGCCCATGTTTCCAAAAAGAATGTTGCACGAAATACTTCCAGACTATTGAATCTTAGCTTATTTCGTAGTAATTCTTTTAAGTAAACCTATCTAAATTTCCTAGTTAAATATGCTTTGTTCACTCATCAATGGGATTCATTTGTTGTTTGAACATACTGTTGATCATAAACATTTTCAGTTTTCTATTTGTTTACGTAAGTTGGTGGCCGAACGTTCCAATTTTTTAAAGATAACCTGAAGAATAACAGGTGTTAATTATTTTATCCATTATGGTCAGAACGTGAAGTATTTTGCAGTTGTTTGCTCTGCTCCCATGTATTACTGCTATTACTTATCAATCTTTGTTGATTCTTATGGATTATTCTATATCCTTGTGCATTCGCTGTTTGTGCTAGCACGAGAAATCGTAGTGAAATGTTGTTGTTTCATTAGTTTAGCTGCATTTGTATTGATAAAACTAGGGCTTTTATAACCTTCCAAACTTACTTGTTTAGTTTTTGGTTTGAACTAAACATCAAGTTATCATATTTGAATTCAAATACCTTCACTTCTCACCTTCATTCGACTTTGATATAGCCTAGCCAAACGTACCTAATAATAATTTTCGTAATAGTTCACTTTTTCCCCTGTTAGAAAAATAAATGTGATGTAAAATTTTTGATAGTTATTCATTCGGATGTTTTCCTTCTAGCTTGTTTGTATATTAATGATTCAGGTTATCCTGAACTATTGCCATATCTCAAAAAAACTAATAGGATTCCTTGGTCATACTTATTGCTTCCATTGGTTTTCTTTTCTATTTAAACTTTAAATATTGATTTTATACCTGTTGATCTTCTAATCAACCTGAACTGTTAATGCATGACAGTTAGTTAATGTTCTATGATGTTTTATTCTCCTGGATGTGTTATGTACTTGTATCACTAATTTTATAAAGATAATAACTGAAATTTTACTCATGTAATCCAAATAGACTAAAGAGAGTTAACTCTTGTCCCAAACTTGTCAATAAATGGAAAATTAGTACATTATTTAATGTTCTGTTTATTAAGGCGGATTAAGTTGAAGTTGTTAATTCACACAATTTTTGCATCATTCGGTAAATCATTACCACAAATAATACTAATTTGTTTGATATCTATGGATACGCTTTAATCCACAGGAATGATACACTGCATTACAAAATCCCACTTTCAACCTGTTCATTAAAGAGGCCTTCAATACTAAATTCTTAAAATAATCTTAAGCAAACCTCATGGGTTTGATTTATATTCATTAAAAATAGAATTAATAAAACTCTGTAAAGGTACTGTGATCTGTATGGCTAACTAGTAATACTGACGAATTGTTGTCTATTTAAATTTTATGAGTGTAGGAATATTCTTATTAGTGGATTTCGACTCACTGGCTCATTAGTAATATGCTAGTCACATGATTGGTTTCGCATCTCATAATCCATTGGTAATAAAAGTGTTTAGTTCGAACGAAGTAAGGGTTAGTTCTCCATAGTAGACAACAAATAATTCTAAATATTCTATATAGTTCTTTAACACACTGAGACTGCTTTTTAACTACTATTATTTCCTTCGTACCTGAATTCTCATTTTGCTACGTTTTATATCGATTAAAACCTAATCACAGCAATGTTGTGTTTATCTCTGACCTTTTTTATTCGAATTTTAGGTCAAGTTGAATTACCTCCAGAATGTGCTGATGAATCGACCCCACAAAAACAAATTCTTGATAGCACAAAACTACACTACTACAAAGTAATTTTTGTACACAATTTCATTATTACTATACTAAGATTGTGTATTACATGATGTTCATTTGAAATTCGTAATCGAACATTTAATCAACTCTAATAAATGCGGATTTGTGCTAATAAGAAGACTGAGTTGATTTATTTAATGTTCATCACAGTCCCTGACACCTTTTTTATTTGGCATGATAATTGCACCATATCGTGAATTGATTGAATTTTGAAACGGATTCTCGTTGTAATTTAAAGTTGGAATGTTCACCGCCAGATCTAAAGACCATGTAATTTAGATTTCTTTGTAATCTCAGACATACATTACTGTAGACCCATAAATCTAAAATTAAACAGCTATCTGGTTTCGCCAGTTTATGTTGATTCATGACAAAAACTGTTTTGTAATATTCGTGTAGGTTTTTGTGAGGATTTAAAGCTTATGAAAACTAATATACAGCTTTAAACAAGAAAAAATTACTGAAATATAGCGATATCAAAAAACGTTTAGTCTCATTCTGTGATCGTTGAATGACTTTATAATTTATTATTGTAAAGTAAAGAATATGGTTTCCAATCTTAAACTTTTCCATCTCTTATTATTATTATTATTATTAGCTTTATTCAATATTATAATTTTGGTACAATATAGAATTCTCAGCGCAAAGTATTTCAACAAGTTTCCGTTTCTTTCTTCTTGGTCGGTCCTGGCGATAAATATTGAGGAATCGCCAGTTAGATGTTAGCACTTCAGTGAATGAACAACTGAATAATGTACATTCTTTTCGTTGTACATTGCCAGCAACCATATTGTCTCTTATTGAGTTTTCTGTAACTTTGACAACGAAAGGTTGTACACTTTTCAGAAACGCAGCAGAATAGGTTATGCGATTAATAAACATAATGATATATTAAAACAAACAACAATAGATAACTTGTTGAAATATCTAGATGGCAGGAACAGGTAGCCCAGATGCTCAAGCAGGCCGCCCTGATTAAGAGGACCATAGTATAACCTTGGAAATATTTCCAATACAGCTAACAACAATTCCAAAAAAGGATACTAGAGTATGAGCAAAAAAAGAAGATACATGATTCAACAAAAAAATTCATGAGTATTTTCTTATTAAATGATTGTGTATGGTGTTTTGTTTAGTTCGAAGGTAGTTTTCTCCACAAATTAGTGTCTTTTGAAAAGTATGAAGCACTAGACAACTATTTCGTTCTAGTTCCAGGTTCTTCATTACACATACATTGCAGGACGACCAAGCTGAGGTCCTTTATGTTTTGTAGCTGGTTCAATCACATAGGGTCACTGAATCATCAATAGTCCAAGATGAAAATGACCTCCAAAATATAGAAAATGTACCGTAAAACCACTTCATTCGCTAATAATGGTGTACTCACTGGTACCTAACGTCAATGTATTTTTTTTCAACGTCCTAGAGGGCAACAGTGACTTTTAAAATTAAGAGCATTACAAGTAAAAGAGTAACTCACCAGTAATTGTGTTCAGTGTTTAAGTTGTGTGATTTCGTGTATTTTGTCTAATCACTCATAATCTAAGTTCCTAGATAGCAATTTTATTTCATTTTGCTTATTGTTAAAATATGTGTTTCAATGATCCATCCATACCTTAATTTATCAGTATTTCATGAATAATCTAACGATTATCTCTGGGCAGTTAGTTTGCTATATGCTTCCTTATATGTCGTTCCTAGTTTTTAATTTTATGAAGTGTGCTTCTGACAGAACTTCGTGCCTATACATTTATCATTCATGTTCAAACATTGTGTAGTTAAGGATCTATGAAGCTACAAATTTTTACACCTCACATTACCAATTTGAATTATGCTAACAAAAATCGACCTTATTTACTTGTTTGGACTACTTAGTTGTATGTGACGACTGCACTTAGTGTGATACCTTCTTCTCTTATTACTGTCTGTACTAAGGAAAAAGTTGAGTTTATGAATAATAAGGTATAATTATAGTAATTACCATCTTTCTGTGCATCATTCTTCTGACTAACCCAATTATAATAAAGTATCCGTATAAATAATGTTGTTGACATCAGTTTAGTACACTTTGGATCACTTTAGAATACTTCGTATTTACAAAATACAATTAGCGAGCAACAACTTTGTACAGAAATATCATTTTTCCTACAAGACAGATTTTGTACCAGTAAATAACCACTATATTATTATTTATCTACTGGTCCCATGTAAATGAAATAAAAATTCTAGTCATTTCATACAAATAAATTTTCCATGCTTAAATCACTTCATACTAATTTATTAAGTTTCGAACGTCTTCATTGAAACTCACTATCTGTTTACGTAACATAAAAAAACAGTTGACTCAAATGATTGACTATAGTTATACTTATATCGCCCCAGTGATATAGTTGAATCAGTATAATATATTTCTGTAGATTTTTCTGATAATGATCCTACCTGAGTTAAATGTCGTTAATATTCATCTGAAAATAACTTTTTATTCATTTCGTTTTTTGAAGGATATTAGAGATGTCCATATATCTCGTGTTCATTCATTACTTCTGGATTGGCGTGGTAAACTTCAAGATTCACGTGGTGATTTAGAAATGCAATTGGTTAGTCAAAAATCTGTTGTTCAGCATAAACAGCATTCTAGTTCAAACTCAATTCAGACTACTAGTACTATTAATAACACCTGTAATTTGCGGAATATTAGTACACGTCTAGGTCCATTTTTAGCTAAAAGACGTGAATTGTCATTTCTGTTAGCATGTTTAGAACAAGTATTATGTGCAATGACAATTAAAGAACGTGTGGAAGATCTACGTACAGCACAAAGTTTATTATTACAATCCGGTAGCGGGGGATCTCTTGCAATTGGTCAAGTTGGAATTCCCTCTATTGATGATGAAAATGATGATGGTGACTCTAATGCTCCTGATCGTAACCGAAAATTTACTCCAGTTTCAATTGGTGGTTCATGTGGTAATTTAGCAGATGTTTTAAATTCCTTACCTATGCGTTTAGCTATCGAATGGTTGACTACACAGTGAGTTGAAATCTGTAAATTGTTCAAAGTTCTTCGTCAAAAACTTAATTTTACCAACATTTTTTATTACCTTTACATTAGTTCGTATTATTCAGTTAATTTCTTACAGTTTGGTTTTGAAAAGAAATGTTGTTTAGAAATAAACCTACATAGGTCAAAACTAACGAATACTGAATCTATTTATTGGTGGTGTTCCCAGGGGAATCCAAATGAACTCTGACTTTATCAAACTTGTTCAATAGTTAAGAAAAGGTATTTCACGTATGATATACACAATGTATGGGGGAATGAATGGTTTAATGGATTATTCCGAAGTTCCATGATAATAAGCTTCACTTAATGGTTGATTTTTTGTTTGGTATAAATAATTCCATTGTATCGATCGATGTTATTCCCTGAATCATATGTTAGATATAAATAGCTATAAATAATAACTCAAGATACTGTGTTGATCATTTATAACTTGAACCATAGTCAAGCTAAATCTTCAACGATTTTTGTTAATTTATTGTCTGTAGCTTGTTTAATAAATCATTCCTAATATGTGGATAATAAATGGTTAGATAAGCCTATATGAGTGATTTATCTTGTGTGAATGACAATAACTTTAAACTTCGTTTTGAAACTTGAATTTCACAACCACCTTTTTTGAACTCCAGTTACTCCGAAATTTATTGACATAGATCAAAGAAAATTCTCTTCAGTAAACAATGTATACGCATAAAAGACTTTAGAATTAGGGTAAACATTTAACACACTGAATGAGGCACGGACCAGTAAAAAAATGGCATCTTTAAAGGCAATAGAATGAAAGATTAATCTTAGAGGTAGTTTTGACTGTACGAAAATAGACTCAGATTTGCGAAATAAAAATAGCTAACAACTCGGTAATAGATGGTCCAATGATGGTTCAACATCCCCAGCAGTGGGGTTGGGGCGAGGTAGAGATTAAACTTATATCTATTTGAGTGCTCATGTTGAGTAGTTCCAGTTGATGCTAACAGCACATCCAGTTTATAATATTGCGATGAAGGGATAAATTGTTTACAATAGTTTCATTCAGTCACCTTTATATATTCAGTCAATCATAATATTTTATTTACTTTGGTCGTTGGAATTCGTTTTTTCTGACTTGAGATAATATCTCAGTTCGAATTAAAGTTTATGAATGACTGTAGTTGGTTCGAAATTAACCCCCAAAGTCCAAGTACACCATAAGCTAACCATACCGAGTTATGTACAGCCTTTATAAATCAACTGCATACTAAATCATTCCAACTGTAATGAAAATTAAAGTTCAGGTTCAGTAATCGGACCCGTATCGTTCAAAAAAATATTATCGTTACCTTTCCACTACATCGTATATGTTGATTTTGAATTAGTTCATATAAATCTTTTGACTTTGAGCTACGTTTTTCGTGTGTCCAAGTCGAAATACATGGAGCGTGATACGATTGTTGGAAGTTTAATGCATATGGACACTAAAGCACTGTTTTTATAACTAATGTAAATAGTGTATTCCTTCAACGTATTTTGTAATCTAAGCTTATTTCTACTTTCAAGACATATATATATAGTTACTGTTTCACTAGTACCTACCCTTTTTCGCAATTCGATTGGTTAAGTCTCGTGGATAGTGCCTCTTTTTATTGGGTGGTTTGAGTTGTATTAACAGTCGGCTCATCTATTTGGAAAAATCAATTCTCATAGTATCTAACAGTGATTAGTAATCAGTTAAGACAATGGTATTTAACATCTATGTTACTGGGCTAACTATTCAATAATGAAAATGTTAACTATCAACGATGTATGCTTATTATCAAAGTAATAGAGAATATAATGAAAGTAATCGTAGAGACTCACGTAGTGATAGTAAATAGCAGAATAGTGTGTTGTAATGCCACTGAAAATGGATTGTAGATATAGACATCGTTTTTGTTATAACTTGTGATCTGCGTGCCCTGTATATTGGATAACTCAACGATACCGCCAATCAGAGAACAGCGAATTATCGATCGAACCAGTGACGCACAAAACACGTACGAGCAGCCTAAAGTCCTGATTGGTCTCGATTCCGTGTCTAGCTCAGCCAGTTGAGTTCAGAACACCAAACCTCAGCCTCTGCAATATGAATCATTTATTTCAAACATACTCTGTTTATATACCAATCAAACCGACCACAACGTACCATAAAATAGAAAATAACATTTGTACAATATTTGGCCAAAAGTGGCTGTGAATGAGGGAGATAGTAATCAATAGATAGGTCATAACTCAAGAATGGTAAATCCTATAATAATAGTTCATAGGTCAAAATAAAACTCATAATGAGAGGGACATGAATATGAACAGTTAAAAATATACTCATAGTATTGTTCCATAAATCGATCCCAAGAATTATCATTCATTATTCTGACCGGGATATAACACCTCCCCTTTTTGAAGATCTGGATTTTAAACTTGCCGGGTTTATCCTCCCCCACGAAGCAGTGTTGAATCCTCATATTCCCAAGCTACAATTAATCTGACTTTATTTAAAACACAGTTGTCACATTCAACAGAGAATTTACTAAAAGTGATTAAATGGTGAGGATCAACGACGCTTGATATGAGGTCATGAAAGTTTGATTCTTCTGAAACATTGTCATCGAATTTCCTGAAAATCTCATTAGTAGATAGTCGATCACTAGAATAATCAGTATCTATCAACATTTTATTAGGTTCTTGACCGTCGTTTGATGCATCCGACAAATATTCCTCATTTTTGTAAGAAATTTGATCAAAAGCATGTGAGTCATTAAGATAACTCATATCTGGTAAAACAACTAGAGGACCCCAATAAGCAGATTCGTCAGGAACTTTTGTTCTGGAATGATGAGCTCCGTTTGATGCAACTGTCTTCATTATGCTGCTTGATTCATTTTCGGTCTCTTTGTGGGCGGGTACTGCAATAATTTCATGAGCATTTAGCAAGACGTCGACTTTCTGTGAGCTGGACAAGTCAGTGTTTGTACATGGTGTTTCTGGGGCAATGGGATTTGAATCTATGACATGGCATGTCTCTGAAATGGACATTTCTGGATCACTGGGCGGATCATGAATGACTGCTTCGCTTACATTACTGCTTGTCAAGGATTCATAGAGGCTTTTATCGACACATTCATACGTTCTGCAGTCATTTTCCAGCTCGGTATGCAAATCAGAAACTATCACCATTGGATGCCGGCTCAGTGGTTCAGTTGGTTAAGCGTTCGCGCGCGAGACCGAAGGCCCTGGGTTCGAATCCCGCTCGCGGGATCGTGGATGCGCACTGCTGAGGAGTCCCACAATAGGACGAAACGGCCGTCCAGTGCTTCCAGGTTTTCAATTGTGATGGTCTAACATTAATCGGTTCATGATCTCAATCAAAAAAAATCAGAAATTAGTTTATCAACTTCTGTTACATCTCCAAAACATGGATGATTTAGCAGCCATGTGCGTAAATTGTCCAAAATATTCAACTGGCTATTTTTGAAACGCTGCCGTTGTCGCTCAAATATCAACTGTAATTAATCGGGAGAGATAGCCATTTTCTGAATCAGCACGATAATGAGATATACTGTATGATGAATTAACAACCAATGTCTTCCAGGGACACCGATGACAAATCTAGATGCTGATTGCTCGAAATAACTAGACTGAATTTCGTTCAATTACAGGCTGACTTTGAAAATGAGGGTTCAGGATTTTTTTTCTACCCCGTCGCCAATTGTTATATCTTGTGCGGCTCTCTGATTGGCGGTATCGTTGCGTTATCCAATGTACAGGGCACGCAGATCACAGGTTATAACGGTTTTCTTATCCAAAGAGTGCGTTGGATTCATCACGTTTCATAGTTTTACTCTATTCAAAAACGACTATTTTAATTACGTCAGCGGTCTTCGCGTAATAGACGAAATGACTGAATGTGGTGCATTTCGAACATCTAATAATCTTATTATTTGACAAACTTCTGCATGCATTTCAGTAACTGATATGCTTTCGCATTGATACGGCTTCTTATTTCCAATAATTTTGGACTTCTTTGGAACACGACTTTTCTAGACGCTCGAAATATCTCACGTGAGATATTCTATGAGTAAGTTGTTAGTTAAACGCAGTAAACGTATGTATATGTATTCGAAAATGCATGATGTGTTTTCAGAAAGTTGGTAGATAACGCATTGTCTATGGCAGTACTGTCGTCAATACTAAAAGATTCCACAAGTATTCTTACCAAAACACTGTCTCGAAAGAAGATTGAGAACTTTCTAATCAGCTCAAAAATTTCTGTGGCCAGAAATTTAAATGCTACTGGCATTTCCTTCATGGAGGCATCTAATGCCGTCATCTCGTAAAGAGACATCCTTCTTTTTGCACTTGTACGTGCCAACAATACCTACGACATCGGAAAATCAACGAGTTACATTTTTTGATCTACTGTTGAAAAGAAGTAGCATTCCAGACAACTGTCCACTTGACAATACACCTCCAAGCTCAATGATATGTGCAGCTAACGTCTCAAAATCACCTATTTAATAGAGACAATCAAGTTTAAACTGACTTGAAAGTTCCGATCGTTCAGATGAACGTTACCTCGAAATAAACTCACGTGTAGCTTGAAAAGTTGTTGTTCTCTGAGGGTGACGCTTTCTTTCACGTACATATTTTATATAAAAATCACTCAAATTTCCATGACTGTCTTGTATTATGAAATTTCAGGAAGTCACTTTTTCATAAACTCTCAGGAGTTCCGCTTCCATCTAAAATCCTACACCAACGAATATCTCTGTTCATTTTCATCCTCGTAAGCAAATTTAATGTAGGACGAAAGTGTATTGATCAGTTTAGAAAAAGTTCGTAGGAAAGTCTTTTTAATGACAACAAAAGTATCATCCATATATCTGAGCCAACTTTGTGATTTAATGTCATTGGCGAAGATATCTGATTCCATATGTGACGTAAACAAGTTAGCTACAATCGTGGACACGGGGGGACCTCACTGCCACCCCGTTTGTTTACTTTTATAATGTCCCATAGAATGTAAATAAGGTCGAATTTAAGTACGGTTGTAGGGATTTCGTGGTTAGACTTATGCTTAAAGGACATCTGGCAGATAAATTATTAACATTCTCTGGTAAACCGCAAATAAAGTTTAGTCATATATCAATAGGAGTTCTCATGTATTAGAATGCAAAACCATAGCTTACCATGGTTTCATTTTTTCGATAATTGATTCCGATATTCCTGACTTAAAATCATAGGAATCTTTAATTACATTATGTAAGTTGTATTAAAGTGGCTTTAATATGCTGCTCAGATATTTAGATAATACACAGCCGTGCTTGTAAAGTCCACTATAGGTTTTAGTGGGATGTCTGATTTATGAATTTTGGGTAAAATACAGAAATGTGATGTAGTGTATAATTTGGGATATAAAAGGAACCATAAAAAGTTGTCGATGACTGACTGTAATTCTTTCAAAAGTTGACTTGTCTCTGATTTGACTTTACTTTCAACCGTCTGAAGATTTTTCGGATCAATCTTTTGTGTATTTTAACCAACCGATTATTATCCTTTACACAATCTTCAATTATCCCAACCTCTCCATAGAAGCAAATCAGCAAGTGTACAATATAACCTCGATTAATATATTTTTCTCTTTATCAATTTTTCGTATCATAATAATATACTTAATTATCTTAAATCACTTCTGAAGTTTTCACTCTTAGGCTTAGACGCGATTCGCATTATTCTTTATAGTCATCCATTGCGAATGCACATTTTTGTTTATTTTCTAATGTCATCTACTTCTAGACTTAGTTGATCTGCCTTATAAGATTGTTTCTAATTATCTAATGTTCACAATATCAATATATATATCCGTTTGCTTCAGGCTTACTGATTTTTATGTGACATTTTTTAGCCATGGTGATCATCTGATTGATGGGCTCCGTCTGGTTGCATTGAATTGTGTTTTACATGATGGCTTAGGTGATGAATTATACGAGGTAATGAGTCGCGCCATAATACATGCTGCTGGTCAAATCACCTTCCCTATGCTTGAAGCGTTATCCTCACTTGGGTTATTATATCCCCGTTCTAAACTCCCGGAAATATCATCTGCAAAAAAATCTGTTACAAACAATCATCCAACTGACCCACAATCAAGCATGTTTGTGGCGCAAACAAATAACTTAACAAAAAAGTCCAGTCATACACTAACTCATACTGTTGCCAAGCTAAAATTAACACAACGACAAAAATCTCGTTACAAGTAAGATTTTTTAAATTTCAATGCTCTAAATGGGTTGGATTGGTTCAATATTTGCCGTATCTGATGAATAAGTAGTAATATGATATTGTTATTCATCTGTCCTCACTCAGAAGACAAATGACGAGTCATGACAACTTTAGAGGGATCAGTCACTATTCCGACATTCCCCTCACACTCTTCAACTTCTGTTAATTAGCAGTGTATCGTTTCCATCACCCAGTGTCCTCAGTGAGTATCTCTGGCTTAGTTGAACCAAAAGGTTATCTCATTCAGCATTTGCGTGTAGGGAAGGGAACAAACGCTTTTCGTATTCAGTTGTTCATCATTTTGTATTGAGCTTAGAACCGTAAATGGTTCCTAATTGACTTTCATCCTAGTAAATCTAATAATAAGTTGACTAAACTAAAGATTTTTAATGTTATTCTATCTTAATGTGACATTAAAAGCTAAATAACAACATCAAATTTAAGTATAGAACAGTTCTGATATTGTAATCTGAGGTTTGTCCAAATTGTTCAGTTTTAAAATACTTCAAACCATAGACCGATTTCGGTTAAATAGCAATCTTGACTGACCTTCCTTTCTAATAACAGTCAGTCATAGTACAGATGTATTTATTTTTTATTGCACTTACCATAGTTTACATACTATTTACATTTTCTGCTTTCTCATGTTCTCATTTTAACTTATTCAAGTTTTAATTTTTTTCTGTCTGTTGAAAATAGATCAGGTTATCCGGTTTTTAGTTATTACATCCTAGTTCTTTGTCTGAAGAATAGTGTTAATGAGATTTTCCTAGTTCATTTCTGCTGTACCATTTGTTGTCACCTACTTGGTTGTTATCACTTTTAATTTACAATTTTTGTTGTGTCCCAGGGTGATTGATTGTTTCTGTAAAAACAGAGTTGTTCATTTTCAATTTTTGACTTCTGTGCGGAATATATCTGGTAAATCTTGTCTTCTCTATCTCTATTAGCGTACGGATTACTAACTTGGTGTTGTTATTTGACAGACCACCGGTCTGTACTTATATTTTTCGTCGTATCAGAAAGATCTTCAATCGTTCGTAAACAATAGCATTTACCATAGGTCAATCGGAAACACCAATACTGTAATCGTTTTTATAAAGACTAAATACTCAGTCTTTTTGTGTTGTTTAGATGTACACCACCCTTACAACAAAATCTAAATAAACTTGTAAGATGACTTTGCTGTAGCTAATTATTATGATGTCCCACTTCTGTGGAAACATACAAGCCTTCACATGGAAATTATCAACTGAAATATTTTGATGAAGATTGTGATTAGCTTACAACAGAATAAACCATTGTTTTCTCTTGCGATCCTATCACTAGGACACTAGATACTATGGCATAATACTGATCAAGGGACTAGACCAACAATTAAACTAACTAGTTCAGAGAACTCAGCAACTCCATCGGTCTCAGTATTTCACGAGATGCGTGACTCAGAAATTCAATATCCAACCAACTATCGAGAACCACATTAAAGTAGACAATAGTTTATTAACACAATTTAAAAGTAATCAACACAGTGAAACCCGTGTAGAAATCAACCGTATGATGTATAAAAATGATCTTTGTGTTTATTACAGCCGGATATATGTCTTCACTCAGTAACCAATCACAACTTAGTCTCACTTGATACATAAGATTTTTTTCTTCTGAATTTACTACTGTTTATGCAACTAAATTACGTAACTAATTTTAGTTATACGATGAAATTTTTGCAAATCTTCCTATCTAATTAGTAAACCAAGGTATTATTTCCCTTTTTTAATAAATTAGTCTACGGTACATTGATAATTTAATCAAATAAATATTTTTTAATACTTTTTTTCCTCTCAGTTATCTACATCATTTGTTACAATTGAGCAATTGGAATCAGGCCAATCGACATGTTGATCGTACGGTTATTTCACCTACATATGTTTATTCTGGTCAACATTGTCCCTTAGTTGTTCGGCTTTTAGAGTCTGTTTGGTCAGCTGGTCTTCTAGATTCTAAATTTCAATCTGTTAAATCAAACTCTTCTTCTGCAGAGCAAAATCATTCAGACTTTGAACTAATTGCCCAGCCACAATTAATCGAAGCACTTAAACGAATGGGTCTTCCATCTGAAGGTATGTTTCTCCTTATAGTGTCAATTACAAAGAGGAAGTTCCTTGATATTTTGTAAGCCTTATATTTTTAACTAATTAGATTAGAAATCAATATTTTAAAACTGTCAAGTGATAACTAAAATAAAAACAAACTTTCTACATCAACCTTTGATTTGTACTGTTATGGCAGTTTGAATAATTTAATTGAAACACTTTATTTTGCGGTTAGGGCAATCAAAATAAATTTTACAATTATTTTTCATTGTTATTTTCGGTTTGGGCGCCCGGGTAGTGTAACAGTCCTCACAAAAATATATGATAACTATGTGACCCATATGCATTTGGTGCCCTCTTGTACCAATGTTTATGTAATATATATGTTGAGAGTTTTATTTTTACTAAACAATAAATCTTCATAGTCATAGGTTAGACGATGTCATTTCACATTTCTGCTAGTCAGTAGCACAAGATTTATGAAGTGACAATTGCATTAGTCAATAATTCATGTATCATCATCAGTACAAATCCATTCTTACTATATCATTTTGTTGAATCAGATCAATAAAGCAAATTGAATTTGTATGAAACATTTTTTGCTTTGCGTTTATAAACAGTTCTATTGCCTATTACTATCAACTAGAAAACTCTGTATAGAGATATACAATATCATGTATATCACACTAAAATTCTTTCATCAGTTCAATCAGTTAGCTTCTATTGGTTTTATATTTAACTATTTATGGCTAACGATAGCTTGACATAAATATAAAGTTAGTATTATTATTCTATGCTAACCATTGCTTTTTACTCTCCACCTCTCCACACAGAAAGACTAATTTGTATCCCATTGTCTTTAGTAGTATGGGACTCCTCAGCAGTACGCACCCACGGTCCCGCACGCAGGACTCGGACCCAGAACATCGGTTTCTTGAACGAACATTTCACCTCTAGACCACTGAGCTGGCATTCATTTGTGTTATTGTCTAACTTCAATCAATCCATGATCTTGCATAACCCTTCATCCCTTGTTTGAGATGGATAACTGTCTCACACCCGTTACAGATTGGACTTCAGTGGTCACGGTTTCTCTCTAGAATTCCAGGAAATCCATCTTGAAGCTAGTCACTTTTGAGAAGAAGATTATTATTAGTACGGGTATTTATGGAAATCGTAGTATTTTTACGGCTTAATTCACTAGTCGATAATGGGTTGTGCAAGATCATGAATCGATAGAAGTTAGATATTAACACCGTTAGATGTGATCTCAGCGATCTAAAGGTGAAGTGTACGCCCACGAAACCGAAGGTCCTGGGTTCATATCCTGTGTACGGAATTGCAGTTGCTCACTAGGACAATACGGTCGTCCAATGCTTCCAGGTTTCCAGTGGTGATCTAACTTGACTCGTAACTTCATCTGTGAAAAAACAAAGAATATTTTAATCATTTTTCATCTGTTTACTTATTTTATAAGAAGTTATAATTTTTATGTATTTGAAATGAAATAAAAACAGCATGTAACTGTTTATTAAATCTCTAGTGATTCTTTACTTGATTTGGTTCTATAAGTGAGTATATTGTGAAGTTACTTATAACTTGTTAAAATAGTATACAAGTAGGTTTCTTTTCATTTTCAGTAGTATCTCATTACAAAGTGCTTTCATTAAATATGAAAACCATACATTAAATACGTTATTTGCACATCCTTCTTCAGTTATCCTTTACATTCTTCATGATTCTTTCAATTCTGTTGTTATTACAATTGCTCTCGTTTTACATTCCTGTTCTCTACAATTCAATCTTCCGCTGCCAGGCATCCCACTTCAGATTGCTGCTACATAGTACTTATATCTGTCAGCATAAGTTGCATACGTCATATTATATATAACTTTTCCCGAAATTTTCACATCATTCTTCTTATGATTTTCTCTATTTTATTTCATAACAAAGGGTTCAACTAGAAATCAAACACCTATTAATCTTTTTAATTCAAAGACTATTTCACAGAGACTAATTCTACTGTATTGAAGTTTTTACTTCACTTACATAATATGATAATCGACTGAGATATCTATGAAACAACTATTAACGTAAACTTTCACTTCTCATAGTTATTTTAGTTTAGTTGGTTTATTATTATCATTGCAAAAATACTCGTTAAGTGAATACAATTTCTTAAACTGAATTAGTTTACTCATTAATTACCTTCTACAATACGTGATTTTCTAATTCCATGATATATGTATTTTGCACACTAATCATAATAATGGATTTATAATCCCGTTATTTTATTTATTATTATTATTCTAATACATAGTCAAACCTTCAACTGTTGAAATATTATTATTTTCTAGAGACCGCAAATAAGTAGATTTTTGTAAATCAAGTTAAAGTATTTTCTCTTTTTATCCTATAAGTTGCTTCAAATCTGGGTCTCGTTAATCTCTGTGATCCAACATTAACAGCTGCAGGATATCAGCATGATATATTTTTTAAGAAGAACCGTCCAAATGCCCCAGCTCCACATCCTTTACCTCTCATAAGCACTGATCAACCTATTGTCGTAGCATTTCCTGGCGGTTGTACATATGGTGAAGTTGCAGCTCTTAGATTTGTTGCTAAACGGAGAAGATGGAATCTACTTATTGCTACATCGTGTATTCTTACATCACGAGACTTATTACAGCAAGCTGGAAAAGCAGCAATGAATGTGAACTCTCTATAGATTTTAAAATTTCCTGACAGACATTCTATTAATTGTCTCTTCAAATTTTTGATGTCGGAATCTCCACTCTCAGGTTCTTTATGTTTGCCTAAACTTGAACATTTTCAGTTTTATTGTTATTTGTTCTACTCAAATAAGAAATATATTTTTGTCCTATAGGTTTCTTGTATAAAAACTAATTTTTTTTTGTTAAATATGCGATTTTGTATAAAACTAACGTTTTTCTACAATAAAAGCTCACTCCTTTCTGTTATCAGTGTTATTCAATGAATGCATTTTTATTATTTCTTTTTACAATATTTCCCATACTATTTTTGTTTGGTTTTTCATAAATAATTTTTGCTTTTTAGTAATTTTCATTCTTTCAATAAATTATATTTTTCTGTAATGCAGTCTTGTTAAATAATCTATTCATTTCATTCAGACAACACCTTTTTTTCGTTAATTTATCAGGTTTAGATTCTATAGCGTATGTGTTAGTAATTGCACATTTAGATGTTCATGACATACTGTTTTTCTTTCAAATGAGTTCCACTAACCCGTCAGATTCTGTAATGATTTAGGTGGAGTTTAGAAACGCCTGATATTTCTCGATTTTAACTTTTAGTTTTACCTTATTAGATATAAATTCATTACAACTGATGTTAAATTGTCATGATAAAAATGCTTGTTGGTCGAAGTCACCATATCATTACAAGAAAATTAAAACAGGTTATTTATAATGTCAACTAATTCAAGGGTTTCTTACTAAGAATATATAAGGACTTGACTTCAAAGTCATTTGATATTCTGAAACCCGTTCATATTGATGAATCGTGGGGACGTTTCATACAGCAAATCTTCTCATAACTTACTATGAAATTCACTCAAGATCGACTGAATTTGAACTTTTAATTGTGTATCACGCGTCCCACAATATGTAATAATATGTTTCAGTTGATAACGCATATTTACAGTAATAACATCAGCTTCATCACTAAACACAGACAAAAGTAAGACTGCTATTTAAACACAGACTTAAAGATAGCAACTACATCGACCAGTCAAACTAATTGATTTTCAGTCGACGAAATAGCTGTGCGTTGAGTTAACAGATACTTATGAGTTACCTACATCTGTTATCCCTCGTGAAGGTGTATAGGCTGCCTACCGGCATTCTCCATCGAATTCTGTCCCAGGCAATCCATTCAATAAACACAAAAATATTATACCGTACTAGAAAAGAATAAAGTAAATTGATATCTACTTTTAAAATGTGCGATGAAGTACACTAACTTTGTCAAAAAGTCATACCAGTTACAAAGATCAAGTATGGCATTAGGAACTAAATACATTTTCCCGGTTGTATCATATCACTTCAAAAATCTTGCTTTGTTAATATCTCCAACTTGTATTTCATCCAAGTTTGTTTCTTATAGGGTTGTTTGATATGAACTCCCTTTTGTCATGCAACTCATTAATCAAGTACAAGTTTATGTAAAAGATTAAGTTTATTGATCAGGAGGATCCACCTACTTGTTCGACATACAAAGTGAAGAATATTTGACAACATTAAACATCCGGTTTTCGACTGAAGACAATTCATCAATTTTATCATATATCTTGGAATAGTAAAATATAATATTGCACGAAGCTAAATATCATATAATACCAAATGGATGTTCTATTTACGACTAACCTCTTATATGAAAAGCCTGATGGAATAACAGTCTGAATTTATATACTCATTTAAATAATATGAGGTTATTGAGAAATATGTTTCTGAAATCAAAGTTTCAATAATGTCTCAGTCGAATTTAGTTACAGTTCCGTGAATTACTCTTTGAAATTTGGGCTGTAAGTTCAGTTGAGATATATAAAGTGATAAATAAATGCAGTGACAAATACATCTTTACCTTCAAATATAAAGGTTTTATCAATTAAATTAGTAAGAATACATAATTACGGTTAAGATACTACAACTGAAAGAGTTACAAATGTTCTGAAAACATTTCTTTGATTGAGATTATTTTATTCATTGCTGACAATTTACATGGATTTATTAAATACAAACGGAAGTGATTACTTTCTTAAATTTGTTAACAGTGACAATAGATACTAATATGTAAATACATCAAATTGAAGAGTTATTTCTGAAAGGCTGTAAAGATCCAAAGACTAATCAAATGCATGCAATAATTTATAATCACTTTAATATGATTTCGTAAATGATTCATTCATTCATTTTTGCGTGTTACCCGTCGTGAAGGAGAATAAACTGTTCACCACTATTCTACATCCAACTCTGTCCTGGACAATTGTCTTTAGTTGCTATTCATATCTGCTTCCAATTATCGACGTAGTATGTTCTTCGGCCTTCCTCTTTTCCGTTTCCCTTCACGATTTCAAGTTAAAGCATGTCTCACTGTGCAGTTTGATGATTTCCATAAAGTATGTCCTATCCACTTCTAGCGCCTCTCCTTAATTTCCCTTTAAGCTGGAACCTGGTTTATCGTCTCTCCTAGTAGACTTTTGCTGATGGTATCCGGCCAACAGACATTGAGTATATTACGTAGACAATTGTTTGTAGTTCTCCAAGTTTCAGCTCCGTACAGTAAAACTGTCCTGATGTTCGTATTGGGGATTGTGACTTCGGTATTTTATAAGAAAGATTAGTTCAGCTAAAAGTCCTATTTTCAGCGAATTCATTTTCAAAGCTGTACAATCGCAAATATATATACTTAATTTACAGGATGATAATAATTATAATAATACTGATAATAAACTTCTGTTAGATAAGTTGACGGTGAGGTAAAATAAACAAAGGTATTAAAAAAATTTTTAAACAAGGAAAGTTTAATAATCGTTCGATTGTTAATGGCTTAAATACTCATTGGGAAACGATGGCTTAATGTGATAAGATAAAATGTTGAAATTGAAATTAAACGTAATCAGGATGATCATAGAAACAGAAATGAACACGTTAGGGGTAGAAGGTGAAGTAGATGGCTGTAAAGGAAGAAGAGTGTGAAGGAAGGAAGTTAAAATTACAAGACATTATGACCATGGTAATAAAAGAATTTGTATCAATCTCTTTTGGACACACAATTCTGGTATTTTCAGATGTTTGGCTATCGCCTAAGCAATGCAAAGAAGATGCGTTCCTATTGTCTTTGAAAAACGTCTACTTACCTTGCAGATGACTGTTAACGCAGAGTTTGTCTTCATTGAGTGATCTATGCTCACAAGGTGTTGGATTATTGAACTTCTTATTGAGCCGTTTTATCCTCTTTTTAGCCACGCTGGATAATGTTCTTGAATCCTTTTGAATGAAGTACGCATCGAACGAACCATACACCTAGCTCCACACGAGTAAGTAAATTGGTAAATGCACACTGAGTTGGTCAGATGCGATAATTTACCTTTAAGATTATTGGCAAACAATGATAGGCTAGCGAATGCTATTCGCAATGTTGCTGAGAAGAATGTTCTCTGTCACTCTTAAATTATTATCATCCTGTATAATAAGTATATATTTGCAATTGTACAGCTTTGAAAATGAGTCCACTAAAGAAAGGAACTCCTCACTGAACTAATTTTTCTTATTTAATGTCTTAATCGGTTTATACAGTCTACTTTGATATTGGTTTACAGTTGTGTTTGAGTTCCATACGTTGTTCATCTGTAGGAATACTTTCCTTTCCTTGCCAATTTTATCTTAACGTTTGCATCAGGTCCTCCACGCTTTTATTATTATTAATGGCTATATTCAATATTATGTATTGGTACAACATAGAGTTCTCAGCATAAGGTTCTTCGATGATGCCGTCTAGGTACGTTAAAGTTTCCACCTCTTCCAGCGTTTCTCCATCAGGTGTGTAATGATGCCGCAATTATTCGAAGTTTGACAACATCTTAACTAGTAGCAGCTTTTATAATCGAAATGTGACAACCCAGTCAATCCAGAAGTCAGAAGTGAAGCCGTTCGAAGATATATTTGATAGGATATCGATATATCAAAACGTGACAGATCTTAGCTGGTTAGCGGTTGTAGGAGAAGATGAGCATAGCGTACCCACTCGTGATCTAGTGCGGAAACATGAACGAGCGTCTTCAGCCAGGTGAATCCGGTAAAAGTAATGCAGTCAGCATCAAATATCGAAGATTTACAGAGCTATCGATTTTGAAAACTTATTTCCGCTACATGCGATGGGGTTGGTTTTATCCGTCTTAGATTTGAGGATTTTGCTTTTTCCCTTGTGTATGTTAAGGCCTACTGGTGCAGAGGCTGCTGCTACACCAGTTGTCGTCAACTGCATTTGTTCGTGCACATGAGATAGAAGCGCCAGGTCATCTGCCGAGTCCGAATCATCTAGTTGCATATAGGCTGTCTATTGCATTCCGTGATTCCCGTCAGATGTCGAAGTCTTGATAATTCAGTCGACCACCAGAAGAAAAATAGGGTATGGGCAGCCTTGTCTAGCTCTGGTCCTCACTTGGAATTCACCCGTCAGTAGTAGTTTATGCACCACTTTGAGGTGTATTCCATCGTATGAATTCCGTATGATATTGATGATCTTCTCAGGGACACCATAGTGTCGAAGAAGTTTCAAAGAGGATCTTATATCCACACCGTCAAAGTCCCTGTCATAGTCAAGTTAGTTGATGTACAGTGACGAGTTCCATTCAATTGATTGTTCAACGATGATCTGTAGTGTCGTGTTTTGGTCTGTGTACGACCAATCCTTGCTGAATTCAGCCCGTTGAGTTCAAAGTTGGGTGTCTACCGAATCTTTCATTTGATACAGCAACACTGTTGAAAACATTTCCTGGTAACAATAGTATTGAGATGCTTCTGTAGTTCTCACAATTGCTCAAGTATCCTTTTCTTCTCTGCAGGTACTTGTTCTTCCTCCGACGTCTTCCTCAATAGTTCATGCATCATCTTTGCAGTAACGTATATATCTGACTTTGGTGCTTCAGTTGGTGCATTGTGAGGTTTGTCTGGTAGCCATCCTAATCTTTTCGATCGTTGGTGGAGTGACATCTAAAGGGAGGTCTGTGTGTGCTGCTTCTATATACAGTGTATAACCAGTTTGTTGAATGCACATAGATTTGTAAATCTTTCCCCATTTTCCTTTCTCTCGGCTAGCACATGTCGTTCCATGATATCTCTATACCCGGTGCTGTCCATTCCGACTTTAACGTTCAGATCTCTCATCAGAGTGGTGATGTACTTTTTACGTTATGCCTGATTAGAGCCTCTCACAGAACTTATCTTCATTGTCGTTGTTCCTAACATTGGTGGGTGCATAACATTCGATAACATTCATTATGATTCCCTTCTTCTTTGTCTTAAAGGATGCTTTGATGATCCTGGATCCGTGAGATTGCATCCTATAAGTGTATTTTGTGTTTGTTTGAACAGCATCAGAGTAACTACCTGAGTGTATAGAGAATATTCCTCTTCGTAACTGGAGTGCAGCAGCATTTCTCCAGAATTTATCATTTTCTGTTCAGCTTGAGTTCAGTGGGTTTCACTGGATCCGACTACCACAATGTTGTGTCTCCTTATTTCAACAGCTACTTGATTGGTCACCCCGGTCTCCTACACTGTCCGGAAATTCCATGTACCTATATTATTTGATGCTCTGATCGTTATGTGTGACATCGGCCTAGTGAATGCAGAAGGATGTTGGCTTTCACCATGACGCGTCATAATTCTTCCTAGTGAAGATCGTTTAACTCGGAAAACAGAGTTTAAATGGCTGAATTTCTTTATTCTGGTTAGCTTTTTTAGCAAGGTTGTTTTCTACGGGGTGGGGTTGCCGACCTCAAGCCCAACCCTTCTCCTCAGTGTGGGCTTGGGACCGGTAGAAGTCCTAAAAGAGCTGCTGGAGTAGTTTGACTGTTCATAGTCTGAGCTTTAGACAGCTTGACTCCAACAAGTTAAATACGGCGTAGTCAAAGAAAAATCAACTGGAAAGATAATTGAATGAGGGACTGAAGTTGCTAGATATTTAGAAAAAATTTAAGTTAACTGAATTTGAATACTGGTTATCAAATTGAGGAGACGATCTTGAGTATATCCAATAATACACAAGCATGAAAACCCTTTGAATTCGTTTGGTTTATATTTCGGAGGAAAAATTATAAATATTTCATTTTAAACTACAGATGTGGAAGTGTTTCGTTAAATGTGAAACTGCAAGTGTGTTTGTTGAGGAAGGTAGCTTAGACTTTGAAGGTGGTTAGAGGTAATTTCGGTTCAAACGGGATTTTGTTTTAAACATCTCCTGTGCAACGACCGATAGCTCCGCGTTCCTTTTGGATTCGACGGATTCCTTATGATAGTTTTCGTATTGAGAAATTGCGATGTCTGAGGTTTTATTGAATGACTCGGCTGTTAAGCAGGAGTATTTTGAGGACGAAGAGAGTCTTCTGAAGAGTGATGTATTTGATTCTGTACCTGAAACACTATCGGGTGAATTGACTGAGATCGGCTTCGACAACGGATGTCCTGGTGTTGTTGGTCGTGATCCTTACGGCGACCTATTTTTAATGGATCCTAATGACCTTCTCGGTGTAAGAGAAGAAGTTATTGGAAATGACGCAAGTAACAGCCCGGAAAGTGTACCTGTATGTGATTCCACTATAGCTACAGCGGATGAATCTAACGACTCTTCTAATGAACGTGTCAATTTAAAGCGGAAAAAGACGAAAAATCGACTCATTAACTTCACTAAACAGGAGCCAGACAATCGTGAGCCTTCAGATCCTGACGATGGGGCGCAAAATATAAAGTACTCGCGTTCTAAACTTCCATACACCCATCAATCAATAAAAGTTGACCCTGAAACTGACTTGGGTAAGTAGTTGACATATTTAATATCTGTATACAGGAAATCTGCCGTACGTCGTATATGGCAACGCAGTTGAAAGTTTTAATGGGAAAAGCTTTTTGATTAATCGCCGGTACTCTTCATCTGCTGGTCACAAACAAATTCATATCTTGCATGGACAACCACGTTATCGGCGCCATTTCCCTTTGGGTGCCAGTGGAACAATTGGAACTCGATTGCTTCCTCAAAGTAAAATTTTTATAATTGTTTGTCGATTTGTGTATGTATCTTGGCGTTCCTCGTTATTATGCATGTTCCTATGCATTACGTTAGATAAAACTTTTGTTGCGAAATTACTAACTCCTTTAGGTTTTTCGTGAGTGCTGTAGTAGGTAACCTTTAAAACATTTGTCGCTGAAATCTTAGTATACTGAGGATTTTATGCATCTGTAATTATGGTCTCGTGATTTTCGAATGACTCATCCTTATACGATGTAAAATGCTCATGTAACGGTGTCGGTTCACTTATTGTACTTCGGAGACTAGACAAATGTTAACGTCTTGTTTTTGCAAGTAGTACTTTATCCCTGGTTATCTAAGCTGTGACAAGAACTGCGATTACACTTATCAATGTTTGAATTGCCTGACTAATGTCTCAAATTATAAGCTTTCGTAATCACCTTTAACTTAGTTGGAGCTCGCAAGCAACAAGCCCGAAAAATAAGTCTGATTTCACTTTTAGTCCTGTATGCACAGATAGGATCCTAGCACCATCTGATTTCGGGATATGGACATACCAATACTTGATTAGCCTTATTTCTGATTTTCAATCCCGTGAGTTAAGACTTTGTTTAAGTATCCGATAGGTGCACCAAAGTTCATATCATCTGCCAAAGTTTCCTTTTTGGAGCACCTCTATAGCCAGATCATACAGCAAACTATCACCTGAGTCGACTACGTTTAATAACATTCGGCAGAAATCCCCACTTCCAACTTTGAGTATCACCATTGTGTACTCCTAAAAGTAACAGTTTATTTTAAATTTGTAGATTATCTCCCACATGGAGACGCCTTTGTTGAATTAGAGGCTGCTAATTACGTTTTTTGGTGCTTGAGAAGTCCACGTTCTTATATACTGGGTTTGCAATACAGAGGTACCTGATGAGGATTCCTTTCTATTCCTCATGACTAGTTTGTACCCATTAAGATGTGTTACGTGCCCCAAACCACCCCTTATCTTGACATGCAGTACTGACGGGTGTAAGAGTAAGTTGAAAGGAAACTATAGGTGGACAAACTAAAACATTGCATCAGTCAATGAGGTTGACTAGTGATCTGAACCATGTGGTGTGTTTATAATCTCATTTTTCAGGTAAATGTTTGTTTGACTTCCTGGAACACTCATTGTAAGAGCTAGTGTGCTACGTATATTTTGTCAGGCTCTACGTCCAATATAACGGACAGTCTGGACCACTCATCAATCTGACGATAAAAAAATACCAAAGTCGAGTAAAACCTAGTGAGTTAAGCCCGACGATCTCTAAAAATAATAGCCGGATAATATATTAACTAGAGTCAGTTATGTGGAGTTTTATCCAAATGGTCTAGCTGATAATTCGAAATTATGAGAGTTGAAATGGTTGTGCACTAAGCTAGCATTTCACAACTTCAGTATGGTGAACGAGACTACCAATCCCCTCTCCGCTTCTTCGCTAAGTAGAGTAAAAATTTGAATATCTGTATCGAAGCCTTGTTGATCAAGAGTAGTGAAATTAAAAATACACCTCAAGTAAACAGTTATGTATCGGTTATAATGATTATCGTTCAGGAACTGGTTAATTATCGGTAAACGCAAATCAGTGAGAAATCAATTAAAAGTCCATAAGTATAATTCACACCATATAAATTAATGTAACGAGTATTGATCCCCCAAGTTGTATTTAGGGGCTTCACATCCCCCTAAAAAGCATGGAGATCTTGTAATACCCACATAAGTCAGCCAGATTGACATACATCGTTTCAAAAATTAGCCTCAATAATCATCCAGCGTTTAATTAGGACTAACGAAGAGCAAACTCGGTATAACTAGACTGATTATAAACTTAGACGTGGATATATCGACCAGATATTCACCATTCGTCAGGCTTTTTAACGGAGACACTTGGCAACGTCCTGTAATAATAGTATTTCTTGACCTTGAGACAGTATTTGACTGGTCTCACACTAGAATCATGTTTGAGATGCGTTCCCCTCATACATGCAAAATTTTACTCCTAAACTGGTCTATATCAACCCCTAAACTAGTGATTAGTAGTAAAGCATTTAAGCGCGTTGATCAATTTGCTTATCTTGAAAGTCTCATCAACGCTTGTGGGTTTTCTATCTGATGAAATCAGGGCACAACAGGCTTCTTCAACTTACGTTATTTGTGGCATAGTCAAGTATGCCGCTTAACAATTAACTCTGTTAAGTATAACCTATAAATAAAGAAGACATTTGAAAAGCAAGTCTTTGGTCGGAGGTGTCCTCAAAACATTACTCATAGTGTAGAAGAACTGCGTGTGCAATGCTGCAGTAGGACATAGGGTACAAGGTAAATATGATAAGTCAGTTTATCAGGCTGTAAGCTTACATTGGTAAAGGCAGTTTTGTATGTTTCAGTCCTATTCAGACATGGATTGAGCGGATTAGAAGATTGGCGGTTAGTGAAACAGAACATGGCACCAACCCTTAGGGTCACTGACTATCTATCAGAAGTCCAGACTTCCTGAATAGAGTCGATATAATCGTATTTTTTAGTTGGGAACTATATATATGGGATGCATATCCCATCTAAATGCAAAGGACTTCTGAAATAATGTCGAAAGCATGCGCAGGCACTATGTAGTTAGCTGTTAAAGGTAGTCGAGAAGTTTGCCTATGTGGGCAGTTGTATAAGAGTGCTGGTGGTGACGTGACAGTTGAGGCAAATCCGCCATCATCCTAGAAACTTCCATATCGCGCATTACTTACCAACTTTGAAGATGGTTTGGAAAGTTGGTCAATTTACGATGTAGTACCATGTATAAAAAATTACACAGAACTGTCATCTGTCGTTCAACCATGACTGCGTAGCTGATCCAACTCAGTGGCTTAATATGTTGTCAAACGTGATACAGTACAGAAGTCACTGATGGTCCGACTCTAGTTTCTTCTTACATCATTCATAAGAGGAACCACCTTAACTGAAAGTCACGGTTGTTTTGTTAACTGAATCGTCTCCTATTATACACCATTTTTATTCCCTATCTTTCCTCTTTTTCACAATGTTACTCCTGTATTTGTTTCACCCATTTTATTTTTGGTGCTCACTTGTGCCAGGATTTTGTGCACAAATGAATAAACTCACTCTTAAATTTCGAGTTTTATTGCTATTTACTTTAAATCCTTCCATTTCATTCATCCTTTTGGATCAACATTCTGTTCGTTTAGTCACACTGTCATTAATGTTGCATTTGTTTTGGTTTCTTTGATTTGAAACTTAATAATTTTATGTGTGTGCTATTGTGGAGTTTAGTATTATAAACTAGCGCGCTTTAACACTATTTCCATGGACTACGGCTAAGTAGATATCTGTGCTGTCCAGACCGAATCGCAATGGAATTAAAGTAGTTCAATATTCTTGACTCTGTATTTCATTCTCATATATCCATTCTAGGAATATTCATATATATATATATATATATATATATATATATATATTGGCGGCCCGTCTCTACTTTTTATTTTTCAGCTTATCGTTTCGGTGGTTCACAGTCATTCCAAGGACATTCTCGTGTAACTTTCAAGCGTTTACCACAATCGATTATCCGACCTAGTATGGATGAATCTGAGACATTGTTTGTCGCAAGTCCTCGATTTAATGTTGCTAATGTCATTAAAAATGATACGTTTGCACCTAGTGGATCAGTTTTGACAGTTCTCAGTCCAAATGCAAAACATCAAACAGTGGCATGTCAGAACAATCAACTACCCAATATAGCCCCTGCTCCAGGATGTTTGGAATCCTCTGGATCTAATGATATTAATCCACCTGTTGTGTACGGATCCTCGAACTCTAGCAATATGCTTCGTACGGTGCCGTGCCCACATAAAGGTTGTGGAAAGCTTTTTCGTGACAATTCTGCTATGCGCAAGCATTTGCATACACACGGTCCACGAGTACATGTTTGTGCTGAGTGCGGAAAAGCATTTGTTGAATCTAGCAAATTAAAAAGACATCAACTAGTTCATACCGGTGAAAAGCCTTTCCAATGCAATTTTGAGGTGAGTTTTGGTATCATAAAGGTAGTTTTTGGATTCTCTCAAGGCAATATTGATTTGAAACAAGCTATACTTAGAACAATAAGCTACCAAGACTAACATCACACAACTAAATAACTATTAGAAATAAATAGAAAACAAAGCTGTGGCAAAAAATCATTTCAGTGTTCTTATTAAACGGGTTACAAAACCTCAGTAATGTTGCCAACAAGAGCGGGAAGTTCTTCAGAAATAATGATCAACCTCGGAGTTGTTAGATCCGTTCACCTTTTTAGACTCAGTTTCACATTGTCCAAAGCAAAATTCACACCAAAGTGTTGTATACCCGATAGACTAAAATCGAGGTAGTACTAAACACGTTCCAACAGATCACCATAGAGTGAGTGCAAAGAAAACCGTCAATCCTATGAGAGTACTTTACACCTCAATGTTACGAAAATCGTGACATACCTACGAACTTTAATCGCCATCCGGTTACTGAATTAAATAAACGTGCCGTGATATCACTTTTCACCAAAGCGTAACTTATTCAGCAAATATTGGTATATTATTGTTTCTCGACTGTCGTAACTCATATTTGTCAGCTGTCATTTATACTGCGGTCTACCTGCTTCTGTTCGACTAAATAATTCATGAGAAAGTATATCACCGACACTTATTGACAACTAGACTCAACCATGTTATTGAATACAGATTACCTGATTGGGGTCCGCGTTTTTATCATAACTGGTGGTTACAGACTTTTAATGATATGGCTGGAAATCATTTGCAGTGGCGCAGGTGCATCTATTCTTTGCCTTTACCCAAATCCTGAGATTCTAAATTCATCATCACTTTTTTTGTTTCACTAATCTATGTTTTTTTCGAGTGGTATCTTCGATACCTATTCTTCCCTATTGCCAATACCTCTGTCATTCTGGAGTCTAGCCTGATAACGTGATCTCTCTGTTCTAATAGGGTATGGCAATTTGAACCGACAAATATACGTCCAAGTCCTAAGTTGTGACTAACTGTTGTTTCACTTATAACTATAGACAAACGAACATCAACAACATAAACCTTTAGTTGAATGTCTCATACTTTTACACTAAGTGAAAAGAGTATTGTCTCTACGACATCGGTCAAGGTGAGACTATGATGAGCAAGACTAAAGGTAAATTGTTCGTATTTTTTTACTCAAGTTACCTTCTAAAATTTTTTATGATAATCGCATAAAATTTTGTGTTCGTGATAAAATTACCTTTATCTCCTTATTTTGGTTGTAAATTGAAATTTTCAGGGTTGTGGCAAGCGTTTTTCATTGGATTTCAATTTACGTACACATGTACGTATACATACTGGTGATCGTCCTTACATATGCCCCTTTGAGAACTGTCATAAACGCTTTGCTCAATCAACAAATTTAAAGTCTCATATTATGACACATGCCAAGGTCAGATACCGGTAAGTTTATTTTTCTCATAAATTAACTTGATTATGTCGAAATATTATTTTTGCGCACATCGAAAATGTGGCGACCTTTCTTGACTTTAATATCCAGTTAGCTTGATACCCCTGTTATTGCTTTGTTACATGCGAAAAAATAATCTTATTGTTTTATCATTATTTATGGTCTTTTGTGTTAAATAGAGGTCCTCGTAGCTCTTCAACAACTTCACAAACGCCCGGCTACTTCTCTGAACTTGATGAACTGCCAATTTCTCAGCAGGCTTCGGTTGCCGATAATGTTAATGATTCGAATAAACCCTATCCTACTCCAGATAATGACGGAGAAAATAATGTACAAGTTAAAAGTACATCTCCTTTTATGGTAACCTCATCTAATTCTTCCAACTCAAAACCAACTTATATAAAGGCTCCTCGAGGTTATACTCGTCCAACCTCTGCATCACGATATACTGCACATGAACTGCCCCCACCTCCATATACGATTGATGAAACACCCTTATCTGTATCCACAGGCTCCAAATGTGAATTGCGAAATGACCCGTACATTATAGTACCAAAATATACATCCGGCAGGCGAAAACATTCCAAATCATTTGTCAATCCTAATGAAGATGATATTGATGACGATAATGACGAAGGTGAAGTAGAAGAGGAAGATTGTTTTATAAAACAAGAATTCGATCGTAGTTTCATATTATCGGATCCAGGTATGGGTTCCGCATTGTTCGTTGATCCTGCACAAGAAGATCGTGAAATGATATGGCGTACTAATGAATATCCCACTTTAGATCGTCTACATTTATCCAATTCATTCGGAAACTCGAACCACCAACCTATCATTATGTGCACGCGAGATCAACGTCGCAGGATAATTCAACAAAGTAATATTATGCCGGATTACATTTTGTGTCGTCAACAAACAATACCTATCTTAAGATTGCCTACTCCTGCACGTACAGTGGTATCTTTAGGACGACCACAGCAACAGTCCTGACATATTTTCCATACTAGAACCAACTTTCAGCCAGTTTTACTTACTATTCTCGTTCCAAGATCTCGTCTTTTCCTCTGTCTTGCTAAATACAATGAGTTCGAAGTAGGGATTTAACATTACTACTTTTGCAACCACACAATTAAGCCTTAAACTCATGTCTTGTTAACTATAGCAGTTTTCGTGCGCTTAAAGCGCATCTTGTACATTCACTGTTTCCACAACCTATTGAGTTGTCTCAGTTTATTTTGTCAAACTAGTTTCATTGTTCCTAAACTGTCCCCTTAGCATAAAATTGTACAAAACGAAATCGACTTATCTGGTCCTTTTTACAGAAATCTAAATGCTTGACACTAATATATTGTTTATTGCCGATTATTCTTTTCAAACACTTCATTGAATTTACTGGTCATTTCCTGCGCCTACATGTTTTCAATCTTTTAATGTTTTCCCAGTGAGGTAAATCGTGTAGTGCCCGAGGGAACTCTTTTTTAGTCTTCTATGTATACAGTTGTTTTTCATGTACAGACTTCCGGATAATCTGTGATTTTTTTGAACTCAAGTTTAATGATGTATGGTTGCGGGGTCGATTCATATTTTCGACTCCTTGCAGTAATATTTATTGTACGACATAATATTTCATTCCTAAACAATAAGAATAATCAAACTATTTTATGACTCGTACTAAACAAATTATCACTTTGTTGTTTCCTCTGAACATACGTCGTCACAGTATGTTCGCGCTTTGGGAAAATACTTTGTCTTTACTCATCATTTTTTAACTGAATATTTTGCAGTTATTTTAACATGACTCTGTACAGTGAAAGTTCGTACTGCATACCTTTATACCCGTCTTGCTTGATCACTTATTACAATATTTCGTATTTAGCTCTGTGATGATCCAAAAGTTGAAACAACCTTAATCACTTAAACCCTGTGTATTGCCACGTAGTGCTATGAAGTAGTCATTCTTCATTGAGTTTCGTTAGGCGACTGCCGGTGGGATCAAACTGATGTTTTCTAAGAAGAGCACTGACTGGATGTAATCATCATATGATTATGTGAATTGCATAAAAGCAGCTGTTAAGAGATACGAATATATTGTCACTTTCATAGGACGTAAAGGATCTACAACTCGAGACTTCTCTCTTCAGCAGAGAAAATCGTAAATATGCATGTTAGGCACGGGTAAATACGCAACTCTTGTTGAAATTGATGCTAGTGCAAAGGTAACCTGTGTATAAGTGTTTTTTTGTGAGAATGCTGTTGACTAGTTAAACTCCTGAGATGGTGGAAAAGACTGGCGGTACGTGTTGATGCCTTCTAATGCTCTTTATTTTCGGAGTCGGAAGATTTCTAGAAATCAGTAAATACCCTAACACAGACCCAATCCAAACCAATTAAATTATGAAGAGCTATACAATATACAAGACCATGTCTACACTTGTGCTGACCACGCAGCTTGGTGCTATGGAAGAAAAGTGTGGCGTCAAAAATGTTTTTGTATAATGCATTTGTAATTTCCATAGATTTTTGGTGGGTATTCGTTAGTCCATATGCTCGGTTTTCTGCGCCAAGTAAAAGGCAATCCTAATGCCAAGTGACAATTATTTATAACTAGAGGCACGATATATGTGCCAGTATTAAAGATTTTAAACGTAACTTATAGCCTTCAGGTATTTCACGCATTAGGTAGACCCTTCTACGATGGCACCAAACTGTTGAGTTGAATGTTTTCAATCTTATAACAGACTTATAAAATCTGTTGGTTACATAAAGTGAGCTATGTGTATAGTACCTCAGTTTTCTTATAATACCATTCAAAAAAAGAAAGATGGTTTGGAAATACTCTGCTTTATGAAATTTACAAGTACATTTTAATGCAATCCCGCTAACTGGATTTATAATCATCTGATTCATATTTGTCCTCATCAAATTTGATATCCGATAGTTCCTTCACAATTAACTTATTCAGACTGTTTAGATGAAATTCTTCGTCAGCGTTAATATTACCTGACTCAATTGGTTTTTTATTGGACTGGGTCAAACGGAGAAGAGCACCTAGAGAAAGTTCACATGTTTCAAAAATATAAATTACTCCTAATTCTTTTGAAAATACTGTAACTAGTAAAGAACAATCGTCAGACGGATAAGCATTTCAACAGTCATTAGATTAGATCTGTGACATATTTAGTTGGGAGAGACACACCTATCTAAAAGTAGGATTATTTGTCCTAAAATTTTTAAAGTGGTGGATCTGATTTATTGGTTGGATAAGCTTCTAAAATATCTTCAGGTAAATTAAAATACTAAAGATAGAAAATATAGACTGCAATAATTGTTGTTATAATCTGCACATAATGAAATGTATAATAATTTACGTTACCTCGATTACTTAAAAAACCCACTATGTTGCAGGTAACAAATGACGTCAGTAACAAAACCCAGTAATTATCGTCAGCTCCATGATGAAGTCTTAATCCAGGGATTTCCACATGGTTGCAGATGTATTTGCTAGTGTCAGTCAGTCATCTACAACGTAGGACGACGCACGTATATGCATCGGTCCAAGTTCCCATACCTCATTAATCTCACGTTTTAAGGGAAAACGAAGAGTGTATACACCTGCGCCATTGTGATCCATTCTGAGCTATATCACCCAGTCTCCAAACACTGATTACGATAATCTCATGGACCCAAACCAAGTACTCTGCATCTAACATGGCTCAGACCAGAAGTTAGTGACTTTATGGACTGATGTCACGTTCTGGTTTGGCCCCCAAATGCCCTGGTATGGCCGAGAGCGGGGTGGGTTCGCCCTCCCTCTCGAAATACTCTCACACGGCCGCGCGTATACAGCCTCTGCCAGGGAAGTCCTACTCACTGCCTTCTCGTGGCGGGGGTGTTGTTTACGAAAATGAGAGGACGAAAAGTGAATGTCCGGCGCTTTAACCGGATTCCAAATCTATGGTGCACATGGGCACCAGTATCCTGCGGGAACAAATAGCGTATGAACCAATCGTTGGTCACCGGCTACCATGGGACTGCATCTCCATACGATGCTCCACTGCCTTGTGGGTTAGACCTTTAGGTCAAAGGTTCGGGGTGTGGTCCCCTAAGATAACCACCTGCTTCGGTCTGGGCACCCGGGCAGTATCATAGCCCACACGCAATTAATGAACTGAACTGTCTATGATCATGGAAACTAATTCTCTTGTTTCGACGAACATTCAAATGATTCAATTATTATTATTATCATTATTATTATTATTTACTACGTCATTATTCACCCTCTTTTATTCCTACTCTGTCTATACTTTTTTTTCGACTTATACAGCAGCTCGTCTATGGTGGAAATTCGACTGTATCTAAACGTTCTCGAGTCATTATTCGGTTGAAAATTGTATGTTACCACTGAATATGAGTACTGAAGCAGTTTTTCTGAAATCACATGCACCATTCAGATTGGCTGCCTTCAACGTTCGCACACTTACGCAGGTTGGACAACAGATAGGGCTGGCTATGTCTTTGGAAAGTCTTAATATTGATGTTTGTTGTCTATCCGAGACCCGTATTCAAGACTTTGGCGAAGTACTACAAATTCGCTCTACATATGTCACTTCAAAAAGCTTGTTTTACGTGCGCTTATCCGGGGACCCTGTGGCATCTTCGTCTGGTGTTACTGGCGTTGGTGTCACACTAAGCGCTAGAGCTGAGGCAGCACTAATTGATTGGATCCCCATTAACAGTCGGTCATGTGCTGTTAGATTAGAAAGTTCCATCAAAGTGAGAATAAATCGGCGTGAGAAACGATGTCTTTTCGTCATCTCCGCCTATGCCCCGACGGATTGCAGCCCGGATGCAATCAAGGATGAGTTTTACCACCAGTTATCTGTTCTTCTCCAGAAAGTGCGTTCGACAGATATTGTAGTACTAGCCGGAGACTTGAATGCTCAGGTCGGGCGTCTAGGCACAGAAGAGAGTCGTTTAGGTGGCCGATGGGGACTTGTTGGTCGCAGGACAGATAACGGCGACCGTCTACTGCAACTGTGCAGAGACCACAACCTGTTTCTGGCCAGCACTAACTTTCGGCACAATCATCGCCGATGCGCCACCTGGCATCCTCCCTCTGCATCTCAAGCCTGGACTCACATTAATTACATCGCGATCAGCTACCGCTGACGTGGTTGTGTACAAGACTGCTGCTCCTTCTGGAGTACCTATCTGGACTCTGACCATGCCTTGGTCTGCGCCAATCTTACCTTACTTTTCAGTGGACAACGAAGTGACCACCACCAACGGATTGATGTTAGCAAGCTGGTTGCAACTTCTGTTGCAAGTAAATATCGAACCGAGCTAGCTTCTTGGCTAGCACCATTCCACCGAAAAGTATGGATGAGCGTTGCTTGCAATTGCATGACGCCATGAAAATGGCGGGTACAGTCAGCTGTGGGTTCGCGAAACGTTCCGCATATAAGCACTGGGTTTCTTCTGGTTCCTTACAACTCATTGAAGCCCATCGGTCTACTCCGGGTGACTGTGAGTTTGACCACAAACGAAGGACGTTACGTAATGAAATTGGACAAAGCTTGCGTAAGGACCGAGAAGCCTGGTGGTCGGAGCGTGCTGATGAGTTGGAAGCAGCAGCTGCATCTGGTAATTACCGGAAGCTCTTCCAACTCGTCCGAGCCACTGGCAGCAAGAAGTCTGGTGTGAGCGAAACAACCTGTGAGGATGATGGGATGCCAATCACTAACATCCATCGACGTCTTGGACGATGGGCAGAATTTTTCGAAGGGCAGTTCAACTAGCCTGCTGCTCCGGCAACATCGGTCAGACTGTCCTGCTCTCCATGGCCGGTGACGACTGATCCACCAAACGAGGAGGAAGTTCGCAAGGAACTCCAACTCTTGAAGCGCTACAAATCACCTGGCCCAGATGACTTACCTCCGGCTCTTTTTAAAGATGGTGGTGACTTTTTGACTAAGAAATTGACGACGTTGTTTACAAAGGTGTGGGAGTTAGAGAGTGTACCAACGTCATGGAATGAGTCGATAGTTGTCCCTATCTTTAAAAAGGGTTCACGTCGTTCCTGTAACAACTATCGGGGGATAAGTCTACTTCCAATTGCGTCCAAGCTATTGGCTTCCGTCATACTTCGTAAGTTGTTCAAAACCCGAGAAAGATTGACTCGTGAGGAGCAGGCTGGGTTTCGTTCTGGTCGAGGATGTATTGATCATATCTTCACCCTCCGCCAAATGTTAGAACACCGTCATGCTTTTCAAAGGCCAACAATCGTAGTGTTTCTTGGCATCAGGGCTGCCTTCGATTCGTTGGACAGGACTGTTCTCTGGGATTGTCTATTGAAGGGTGTACCCGAGAAGTTTATTAACATCCTAAAAGCCCTATATACAAACACCTCAGGCAGAGTGAGGGCATACAACCACCTCTCTCCATTGTTCCATTCGAGCAGTGGGGTTACACAGGGTTGCCCAATCTCACCATTCCTCTTCAACTTTGTCATCGATGACATTCTGGAAACAGCTCTGATGGGTGTAAGTAATGGTGGTGTGGATCTGTTGCCTGGAGAAAGACTTCTCGACCTTGAGTATGCGGACGATATTGTCTTACTGTGTGATAATGCCCAAAGCATGCAATGCGCACTTAATCAGTTGGCAATCAGTGTCCGTAGGTATGGTATGTGCTTTGCACCTTCGAAGTGCAAAGTACTTCTACAAGACTGGCAGGATTCCAATCCTGCACTCACGCTGGATGGTGAGCAGATAGACGTAGTTGAGAAGTTCGTGTATCTAATTAGCTGCATAATTGCTGGTGGTGGCGTGAGTGATGAGACCAATGCACGTATAGTGAAAGCCAGAGCGGCTTATGCCAATCTGGGCCACCTTTGGCGCCTTCGTGATGTTAGTCTGGTTGTAAAAGGCCGGATCTACAACGCGTCGGTGAGAGCAGTTCTGCTCTATGCTTGTGAAACCTGGTCTCTCCGAGTTGAGGACGTTAGACGACTCTCTGTGTTCGATCATCCCTGTCTCCGAAGGACTGCTGACATTCAGTGGCAACACCATGTCAGTAATGCAGAGGTTCGGCATCGTGTGTTCGGGCACAGAGATGATAATTCAATTGGTGTCACCATCTTGAAACACCGACTTCGGTGGCTTGGACATGTTCTCCGAATGTCGTCCCAGAGAATTCCACGTCGTGCATTATTTGCCGACTCTGGGACTGGTTGGAAGAAGCGGAGTGGTGGTCAGTGCATGACATGGTGTCGTGGCATGAAAGAAAGCTGCAAAGGGCTGGCTTGTGTTGGTCCTTCACGACTCCCTGGTTGGGGTCTGAGAGATGGTGCTACACAGTGGCTAGAGACGTTATCAGATATGGCTCAGAACAGAAGCCAGTGGCGATCCTGCTGTAATCTTCTTTTACTTTCTTCATAAAAAGTGGTTGTGTCTCCCTTACCTGAAAGATTTCTTCCGATTGTACCTTTGCGTTCCCTCATTACTACCACACTACCTTACACAAATCTCTTCGTTATTGTTCTCTTTTTTTTCTATTTCTCTTCGAATTCTCATTGTTTTGTGTGGCGCATATATATTGGCGCTCTCTTGTACCAATATTTATGTGTTCAAATAAATAAATAATCTCAGTCGATGAAGATTCACAACTTAATCAACTGATTTACCATCATTCCCTAATACTTACCCGGTGATCCCAGCATCTGTGGTCAACTACTAGTAGCTTACGAGTATCTTCTACACTTAGTGGTCACGTTTCACAGCTGTAAAGTAGAACAGAACGAACTGCTGCGCAGTATACTCGTCCTTAATTGATAGACGGATATCTCGCCTTCGCCATAGGTGACGTAAGTTGGCAAAAGCCAAACGATTTTTTCGAGTCCGTATGGAAACTTCGTCAGACACCAACCCATTAGGGTTGATCAAACGTCTAAGATAAGTGAAGTTGTCGACGCATTCGACTACTTCACTCTCTATCCTTAGTTCAGGTGTTGACACAGGCCAGTCCTGAAGCAAGAATTTGCATTTAGAAGAGGGGAAACGCACCCTAAACAATCTGACATTGTTTCCCAATGCTATCAAAAGGTTCTGCATTTTATCAGCGTATTCACCAAACAGGACTACGTCATCTGCGTATCCTAAGTCAATAAGTGTACCTTCTGGTAGGAGATCAATTCCCGAAAATTCAGTTGACGACAACGTTATTTCTAGCAGTAGGTCTATGATGAAAGTGACCGAAAATGGAAATAAGGGAAGCCTTGCCAGATACCGCTGGAGGTTGCGAAATTAGATGACACACTTCGCCATAAGCACTGACTCGACTGGTAGTGTTCGAGTAAAGAGCCTTCACGAGGTTTATGTACATCTGAGATATGTCTTCCAATGACAGACTGCCATAGAATCTTCCAGCCAACAGAGTCAAACGCTGCTTTTAAGTCAAGAAAAACCACTGTCGGACGAATAGTGAATATGTAGTCCATGCAGCCAGTACCAGATCTGAAGCCAACCTGGTTTTCGCGTATTTACAGTTCATGAGTCTTTGTTAAACGTCCGATAATTATTGAGGCCAGTATTTTAGATGCCATATTAGTCAAGCTAATCCCTCTATGGTTATCACAGGATGATTTTGATCCTTTCTTATACATTAGGACGATCAGTGATTGCAACCAGTGGATGGGATTACGTCCAGTTCCCAGATTCTAACTGTACCACCATGCCTAAAGACTTCTGGAGATAATTCATCTGGACCAGCTGCTCTTTCTTGTCTCAGACTAGCTATAGCTTTTCGGATTTCAATAAGAGTTGGGAGCCTATTTTGATGTTCCGTTCAGGCTGTTTAGAAATGGTTCTATTGACTATTCACGTGTTTAGATACTCTTGAGAATATAGTGTAAAGATATTGTATTTCGTTCGCAAAAATCACCGGAATCACTTATTCCCGTTCGAGAGAATAAATATCTGTTACTTGTACTTTATTATAAATAAAACACATGGTCCAAAAGCAGGTTGTAGGAAACTAAAAATGTGACTGGAATGTAATGCGATAGTGATAGGTATTTTTTAGCTCCAGTTTTCCTATTTGTGTGAACTAACTGGGAAGCCTTGTTACGATTACCGTTTTCGCAAGAATTTAGTAACGAACAGCACATATAAAACCCAACGCTCAAATAAGAACTTCCTGGTACATCTAAAAAATAACTTACGGCGTTCTCTCTCACGAACATTTTTCAAAGCATCAATAAATTGTTGGTTAATATCTTCTTGATTTTCTGTAACACTAAAAAAGGGAAAGGGATAAGTTACCTATTGCAAATTATGCCGTATTGTAATTGACGTTCCTTGCTGATTGGTTATACTAACAGCTCAGTAATTTTTAATAAATCTCTCTTAAGGAATGTTATGCCACTTATACGAAATAACTAAAGTATTGCCAACATCGAAGACATTGTCTCCTGACACAAACATCGAATTTACACTAATATCAACAGTAACTAAAACAACGTGCGAAAAATAGTTATAACGCTGAATCTGTCTTACAGAACAATTTATTGCTTAGTTTTGAAGGTGTGTTCGATGCACTTTTCTAGACTACACTTCTGCTCCTGTTCTAAGACCTTGTCAAACAAGCTTGCTGCGATGAAACATCAAGTTCTGTAAGCCAGTTCATCATAAGCAACGTACAACCAGACACATCGATTTAAGTCCGCACACTGAACAAGCAAAACAATATGAAATTATCAGTAACATGACTTGCCACCTCTCACTAAAAGCACATGTAAAATGCGTGTATGATTTAATTGTATGTACGAAGTTCTTCCTGTTATAATTGCTTTGAAATTAATACGTTTCCAGCAAACATGAAACAATAGCTTCTCCTTAATATTCTGACTGTCGACCCCCTTAACTGTCAAAATGTTATGTTCGAGAACTGGATACAAAAGAGATAGAGGTTCTAGAGCCAAACAGCTCTCTTATAAAGACTTACATTTACTATTGTTAGCTTTATTTATTATTTCTCCTAGTCTTCTTATACTTTGCTGACATTAAGAAAAACTCCCTACTTAATTTATTTTGTCAAGAGTACTAAATTTCGAGATTTATCAATTCCTATAAATCACTTGTGTACTTCTGCAATCTTTTCCTGTACTTTCCCGGAATTTTAAAAGCAACTGCTGTCACTAGTGACCTTGGATGGTGCTATTGAGGTTATTTTTGAGCCTTCGAACTAAAACGAATATGGTTGTATGCAAACAATTGGAATTTACCTATCATTTTTGTATCAATTATAAGTTATTCAGTATAGTCAAAAACTTTTTCTTTGCATGTCTTTTAAAACAAGATACAAGTACATTAGGGCCCATGCAAATGATCATGGTAAATGAATACTTTAAAGATGCTGAGCGTGTTCAGCAGTCAGTGTTATTTCTAATTTTTATCACTTTTTTGATACCTTATGCTTAGCGCTGTAAGGAGGACTTGTTAACCGTAATAAGAGTATTATTTTGGTGAACTGTTCCTTACAGAGGACATTCATATCACTTTCAACCACCAGTGATCATAAATACTATGCTTAATCAAGGGAACTACTTACCTGAAGGTAATCGATCCATCCGATTTTCCACACTTAGAGCAGATTTTCAAAGCACTTGAACAATCTGTACAGATTGTATGGTAGGCTTGCTTTACAGTCTTCCCGTTACACTTCACACTATCGGGATAGAAAATAAATAACGATACAGTGAAACAAATTCCCAATTTTTGGTGAATAAAGACGGCTTCCTTCAGTTATTCAATCAAGCAATTACATTATTGGAAACAACAATAAGACTATTAACAATCCAAACAATAGGTTTCAAACAGAGAAGTTTGGCGAAGTTAGTTTTGGTGTAGTTAAAATTTAGTTTTATAAAATATGACAATCATTCACATCAAAAACCTATACCATCACATAAAGTAACATTGGTTAACCCTCGTTAGAACTAATTCGTTCTCTTATTTCTATTCAGTTGTTTTGTGGAAACGCTCCCAAAAGTAACACAATCATCATAAATTGACCGATTACCAAAATATTATTTTACCAACCTAGAATGTACGAGGTGGTTTAGACTGAGGAAGACGGTAAATACAGCGAGTAGTTGCGTAACTAAGTATGTAGTTTTATGGTCTTTACTTCAAGTTGTATCCTTTGCTTAGGGGCCAGTGATTTTATTCGACTATCTGAACCGAAATAAGAGGGTTAGAACTTTCTTTGCAGCCTGAAAGTCGAAAGCCAAGTTGTAATCAATGAACCACCCATCTTGTGTAGCAGCTCAAAAAATGACTGGTATGCATTTCTCGGCAGTCGTCAGTGTCCAATTCAAAAACAGTAGCGAAGCGGAAATAACAGTCCATTCATATTTCAATCACATAAATTTCAGTGATTCGCCTGCTGACAAAATCTTGGCACGATTACTTAGTTTATTTGCAAAGTAGATAAGATTTCTGTCATTGTATCAAATAGTAAAACAGCCCCCTACATATCACCTAACTGGTGTGAAACAACTGCGGCAAAGGACTCGAATGCATTCAAAAATGTCTTGCACATGCTCTAGAAAAAATGCTAGTTTATTGATAATTCACCGAGTCAGGTAGAACATTCAATAAATGGGTAAATTGGTTCAAGAAATTATGAGTTTTCATCAAATGAGGTAGCTGATATTGTTGTCGATGCCCACAAACAGGGGTAGTTTTAGGGTATTTTCCTTTGGTTCCTCACAATTATAGATAACATTATCTTTGGATCCATGTATTACCTTTAGTCGTACTGATACGAAATGCAAAACATACGATACATATGCGCTTAGTCTTCTACTATTGGTATACCTGAGGTTAACAGGCACGGAACACTAGAAATGTTGACAGGTTTCATATGTGGGTTATCGGTGTAGTAATAAATCCCCTGCTAAGAAATAAGCGTAGTTACAGGTACTTACCTATATCCATATTTTTTATCTGAGGGCATCATCTGCTTTTATTGTTCATGAAGCCTTATAGCAGTGCAAAACAATTTATTGTCAAACCAAACTCCACACTATTAATCACAGTAAATTTTCTGAATAGCTTTTCTCATAAATTCTCACATTCCTCTTCATAAACCATCATTATACACTTCTCAAGACAGCATGATTTTTCGGAAACTCCTGACTCATAGGTTCATCGACAGGGCCTCAAATATCCTGACGAGTCTTATCCGGTTAGTGACCTAAAAGAATGCTGTGTTTTGAGAGACGCACTTAGTAAGTTGCTACTACGAAAGTAGTCAAATTTACCAGAAAGTAACTTAAAACTGCATTTTTCATCTGAAGAACCACCAACTATTCCAAATAATGCCTCAAGAGATCCCATTTTATATGAGAGAACCTAAGGCGAGACTCTAATTTAGGGACGAGCCAATCAGAAGCGTCTGAGCAATTTCAAGGTCACGGAGCCAAGTTCAACACGCGCTGCTAACATACGATCGGTTCACAGCGGATTTTAGAGAGTAGGTGATTAATGAGAGGTTGCAACAGATAGAACGGCGAGACTCTAATTTAGGGACGAGCCAATCAGAAGCGTTTGAGTAATTTCAATTATTAGTCAATCAGAAAACGGCATAAAGTAAAAATAAACTAAAAGAAAGTAATAAATTACAGTGAATATTCTTCTTTGACATGATTTAAAATTTCGTATGTTAGCATCCTAACCCTAACCCTCAACTAACCCTAACCCTTAACCTTCACCTAATCCTAACCCTAAACCTTAACCCTCAACTAACCCTAAACCCCCACCTAACCCTAAACCCACACCTAACCCCAACCCTAACTAACTCTAATCCTAACCTAACCCTAAACCCTCAACTAACCCTAACCCTTAACATTAACCCTAAACCCTCAACTAACCCTTAACTCTAAACCCTCACCTAGCCCTAAACCTTAACCCTCAATTAACCCTAACCCTAACCTTACCCGTAAACCTAACTCTAACCCAATAGACGAGTTTCTATTCCATATGCATTGTGAATTCAGAACCTCTGAACCTTAATCAAACCTTAACAAGTTTTTAAATCATGTAAAAGAAGAATATCCACTGTAATTCATTACTTTCATATAATACATTTTCACTTTATACTAACTTTCTTCTGATTGGCTAATAATTGTCAAGGTCACTTAAGATTCGTTCACAGGTCGTCCTTAAATTAGAGTCTCGCCGAACCTAACTGCATAGAGTACATCAAAACTGAAAATAAAACTAGTTAGGGAAAATAACTGACTTTACTACTATAAACAAAACTTTCGCACTAGAACTAGATATCAATCCACTAAAAAACCGAAGCAACCAATTATTTATAATTAATCTATACCTACTTATTCTTCCCATTTGATGAATTTGGAGAACCATTTTAACAAGATAGTATGTAAGATGTAAGCTTCATCGTACTTTGATTAGTGATATTCTATCTGAATGAGTCATGAGCTTTCTAAGCTTTGAGCTGTTCTAATTTTATCAGATACATCTTATCTGATGAACACGTTTTTAACAGTTGACTGAATAAAGTTCTGTGGAAAAGCCTTTGCAACAAAGTGAAAAATACTCTTCCCAGATTTAAGATAAAAATACGAAAAGCAAATCAGTACCTGCAGAGTAAGTATTCAGACTCAAAAGAAATAATTATACGTAATAAATGAACCTTGACGGTGAACCTTAGAATACGAGGATATGAATGAGGATAAATAACTGAGGCAAACGATAAATAATACTAGTGTTTTTATCATAAGGGAAACGGTTTTTGAAGTTACAATTTCAAAAATCGGTTTACATGTAAGCATATTTACAAATACGAATTACAAGACATTTCCTGATATCCAGTAATGAACAGGGTAACTTAACGAGTTATTTGAGACATGATATAAAGGATGGTTTTTTGGAAGTTTTTCTTCTGATAAACAGCGTTATCGGGCAACGATATACCGTTTATATATAAAAATGTGTGATGTGAGCCAACTTCCAATTTTCCGGTAATTTCCCTCAGCTTAGAGAGTGCGAAAACATCACGCTAAGCGGCGTTGCCAGGATTGAGGCTGCCTCCCTCAGTATGGCAGGATGAACCATATCTTGGCCAGGAGAACTATCTAGTCTTAAGTGCTGCAATTTCCGTAACAAGTCAGAGCTTAGGTCCACTTCGGAAAGTCCTGTGGAATTGCAGATGAAACTGTCGTCAGTAAAGTTGATGTCAGCCGGTTGAAATGTTTGAGAGCAATGTGCCGCCAGAAGGTTAGCGGCGTCGCCGTCGTTGTTGGTCGGGCCGTTAAGACCTAGCAGTTGAGAAACTCCTGTTTTGGCTTGACGAAGAGAGGCTGCATAACGGAATAGGCTTCTAGGGTTACAAGCGAATTTGTCCATAAGCTTTGTCTGGTACTGAAGCCTGTCTTCTCTTATAGCCTTCGTGCATATGTTCCTGATATGTTTATATTGCTTATACGCTCCGTCGTTTTCAGTTCGTTTGTATTCCGCCTAACAATGTCTTTTGCGGCTTAGCAGGCGAAGGGTACGGTTGTTGATTACTGTAGGTGGCTTGCAGCTTTTGGGAACCGTTTGAGGAACTGAATGGTTTGTAGCACATAAGAGCGTGTGCAGTAAGAAGTCCCAGTGACCTTCCACATCGAGTTGAGGGTGAACATCCCAAACCACCTGTTGTAGATGGTCATGTAGAGCTGGCACATTCAGCCGTTTAAAATTCCAACGCAAATTATTGTTGGGATACCTTAGCTTAGTTTTGATGACAAAACTGAAGGCTATGACAACATGATCGCTCTTTCCCAGAGGAGCCAGGATTGAGAGGTTGTGATATCACTTTTCACCAAAGCGTAACTTATTCAGCAAATATTGGTATATTATTGTTTCTCGACTGTCGTAACTCATATTTGTCAGCTGTCATTTATACTGCGGTCTACCTGCTTCTGTTCGACTAAATAATTCATGAGAAAGTATATCACCGACACTTATTGACAACTAGACTCAACCATGTTATTGAATACAGATTACCTGATTGGGGTCCGCGTTTTTATCATAACTGGTGGTTACAGACTTTTAATGATATGGCTGGAAATCATTTGCAGTGGCGCAGGTGCATCTATTCTTTGCCTTTACCCAAATCCTGAGATTCTAAATTCATCATCACTTTTTTTGTTTCACTAATCTATGTTTTTTTTCGAGTGGTATCTTCGATACCTATTCTTCCCTATTGCCAATACCTCTGTCATTCTGGAGTCTAGCCTGATAACGTGATCTCTCTGTTCTAATAGGGTATGGCAATTTGAACCGACAAATATACGTCCAAGTCCTAAGTTGTGACTAACTGTTGTTTCACTTATAACTATAGACAAACGAACATCAACAACATAAACCTTTAGTTGAATGTCTCATACTTTTACACTAAGTGAAAAGAGTATTGTCTCTACGACATCGGTCAAGGTGAGACTATGATGAGCAAGACTAAAGGTAAATTGTTCGTATTTTTTTACTCAAGTTACCTTCTAAAATTTTTTATGATAATCGCATAAAATTTTGTGTTCGTGATAAAATTACCTTTATCTCCTTATTTTGGTTGTAAATTGAAATTTTCAGGGTTGTGGCAAGCGTTTTTCATTGGATTTCAATTTACGTACACATGTACGTATACATACTGGTGATCGTCCTTACATATGCCCCTTTGAGAACTGTCATAAACGCTTTGCTCAATCAACAAATTTAAAGTCTCATATTATGACACATGCCAAGGTCAGATACCGGTAAGTTTATTTTTCTCATAAATTAACTTGATTATGTCGAAATATTATTTTTGCGCACATCGAAAATGTGGCGACCTTTCTTGACTTTAATATCCAGTTAGCTTGATACCCCTGTTATTGCTTTGTTACATGCGAAAAAATAATCTTATTGTTTTATCATTATTTATGGTCTTTTGTGTTAAATAGAGGTCCTCGTAGCTCTTCAACAACTTCACAAACGCCCGGCTACTTCTCTGAACTTGATGAACTGCCAATTTCTCAGCAGGCTTCGGTTGCCGATAATGTTAATGATTCGAATAAACCCTATCCTACTCCAGATAATGACGGAGAAAATAATGTACAAGTTAAAAGTACATCTCCTTTTATGGTAACCTCATCTAATTCTTCCAACTCAAAATCAACTTATATAAAGGCTCCTCGAGGTTATACTCGTCCAACCTCTGCATCACGATATACTGCACATGAACTGCCCCCACCTCCATATACGATTGATGAAACACCCTTATCTGTATCCACAGGCTCCAAATGTGAATTGCGAAATGACCCGTACATTATAGTACCAAAATATACATCCGGCAGGCGAAAACATTCCAAATCATTTGTCAATCCTAATGAAGATGATATTGATGACGATAATGACGAAGGTGAAGTAGAAGAGGAAGATTGTTTTATAAAACAAGAATTCGATCGTAGTTTCATATTATCGGATCCAGGTATGGGTTCCGCATTGTTCGTTGATCCTGCACAAGAAGATCGTGAAATGATATGGCGTACTAATGAATATCCCACTTTAGATCGTCTACATTTATCCAATTCATTCGGAAACTCGAACCACCAACCTATCATTATGTGCACGCGAGATCAACGTCGCAGGATAATTCAACAAAGTAATATTATGCCGGATTACATTTTGTGTCGTCAACAAACAATACCTATCTTAAGATTGCCTACTCCTGCACGTACAGTGGTATCTTTAGGACGACCACAGCAACAGTCCTGACATATTTTCCATACTAGAACCAACTTTCAGCCAGTTTTACTTACTATTCTCGTTCCAAGATCTCGTCTTTTCCTCTGTCTTGCTAAATACAATGAGTTCGAAGTAGGGATTTAACATTACTACTTTTGCAACCACACAATTAAGCCTTAAACTCATGTCTTGTTAACTATAGCAGTTTTCGTGCGCTTAAAGCGCATCTTGTACATTCACTGTTTCCACAACCTATTGAGTTGTCTCAGTTTATTTTGTCAAACTAGTTTCATTGTTCCTAAACTGTCCCCTTAGCATAAAATTGTACAAAACGAAATCGACTTATCTGGTCCTTTTTACAGAAATCTAAATGCTTGACACTAATATATTGTTTATTGCCGATTATTCTTTTCAAACACTTCATTGAATTTACTGGTCATTTCCTGCGCCTACATGTTTTCAATCTTTTAATGTTTTCCCAGTGAGGTAAATCGTGTAGTGCCCGAGGGAACTCTTTTTTAGTCTTCTATGTATACAGTTGTTTTTCATGTACAGACTTCCGGATAATCTGTGATTTTTTTGAACTCAAGTTTAATGATGTATGGTTGCGGGGTCGATTCATATTTTCGACTCCTTGCAGTAATATTTATTGTACGACATAATATTTCATTCCTAAACAATAAGAATAATCAAACTATTTTATGACTCGTACTAAACAAATTATCACTTTGTTGTTTCCTCTGAACATACGTCGTCACAGTATGTTCGCGCTTTGGGAAAATACTTTGTCTTTACTCATCATTTTTTAACTGAATATTTTGCAGTTATTTTAACATGACTCTGTACAGTGAAAGTTCGTACTGCATACCTTTATACCCGTCTTGCTTGATCACTTATTACAATATTTCGTATTTAGCTCTGTGATGATCCAAAAGTTGAAACAACCTTAATCACTTAAACCCTGTGTATTGCCACGTAGTGCTATGAAGTAGTCATTCTTCATTGAGTTTCGTTAGGCGACTGCCGGTGGGATCAAACTGATGTTTTCTAAGAAGAGCACTGACTGGATGTAATCATCATATGATTATGTGAATTGCATAAAAGCAGCTGTTAAGAGATACGAATATATTGTCACTTTCATAGGACGTAAAGGATCTACAACTCGAGACTTCTCTCTTCAGCAGAGAAAATCGTAAATATGCATGTTAGGCACGGGTAAATACGCAACTCTTGTTGAAATTGATGCTAGTGCAAAGGTAACCTGTGTATAAGTGTTTTTTTGTGAGAATGCTGTTGACTAGTTAAACTCCTGAGATGGTGGAAAAGACTGGCGGTACGTGTTGATGCCTTCTAATGCTCTTTATTTTCGGAGTCGGAAGATTTCTAGAAATCAGTAAATACCCTAACACAGACCCAATCCAAACCAATTAAATTATGAAGAGCTATACAATATACAAGACCATGTCTACACTTGTGCTGACCACGCAGCTTGGTGCTATGGAAGAAAAGTGTGGCGTCAAAAATGTTTTTGTATAATGCATTTGTAATTTCCATAGATTTTTGGTGGGTATTCGTTAGTCCATATGCTCGGTTTTCTGCGCCAAGTAAAAGGCAATCCTAATGCCAAGTGACAATTATTTATAACTAGAGGCACGATATATGTGCCAGTATTAAAGATTTTAAACGTAACTTATAGCCTTCAGGTATTTCACGCATTAGGTAGACCCTTCTACGATGGCACCAAACTGTTGAGTTGAATGTTTTCAATCTTATAACAGACTTATAAAATCTGTTGGTTACATAAAGTGAGCTATGTGTATAGTACCTCAGTTTTCTTATAATACCATTCAAAAAAAGAAAGATGGTTTGGAAATACTCTGCTTTATGAAATTTACAAGTACATTTTAATGCAATCCCGCTAACTGGATTTATAATCATCTGATTCATATTTGTCCTCATCAAATTTGATATCCGATAGTTCCTTCACAATTAACTTATTCAGACTGTTTAGATGAAATTCTTCGTCAGCGTTAATATTACCTGACTCAATTGGTTTTTTATTGGACTGGGTCAAACGGAGAAGAGCACCTAGAGAAAGTTCACATGTTTCAAAAATATAAATTACTCCTAATTCTTTTGAAAATACTGTAACTAGTAAAGAACAATCGTCAGACGGATAAGCATTTCAACAGTCATTAGATTAGATCTGTGACATATTTAGTTGGGAGAGACACACCTATCTAAAAGTAGGATTATTTGTCCTAAAATTTTTAAAGTGGTGGATCTGATTTATTGGTTGGATAAGCTTCTAAAATATCTTCAGGTAAATTAAAATACTAAAGATAGAAAATATAGACTGCAATAATTGTTGTTATAATCTGCACATAATGAAATGTATAATAATTTACGTTACCTCGATTACTTAAAAAACCCACTATGTTGCAGGTAACAAATGACGTCAGTAACAAAACCCAGTAATTATCGTCAGCTCCATGATGAAGTCTTAATCCAGGGATTTCCACATGGTTGCAGATGTATTTGCTAGTGTCAGTCAGTCATCTACAACGTAGGACGACGCACGTATATGCATCGGTCCAAGTTCCCATACCTCATTAATCTCACGTTTTAAGGGAAAACGAAGAGTGTATACACCTGCGCCATTGTGATCCATTCTGAGCTATATCACCCAGTCTCCAAACACTGATTACGATAATCTCATGGACCCAAACCAAGTACTCTGCATCTAACATGGCTCAGACCAGAAGTTAGTGACTTTATGGACTGATGTCACGTTCTGGTTTGGCCCCCAAATGCCCTGGTATGGCCGAGAGCGGGGTGGGTTCGCCCTCCCTCTCGAAATACTCTCACACGGCCGCGCGTATACAGCCTCTGCCAGGGAAGTCCTACTCACTGCCTTCTCGTGGCGGGGGTGTTGTTTACGAAAATGAGAGGACGAAAAGTGAATGTCCGGCGCTTTAACCGGATTCCAAATCTATGGTGCACATGGGCACCAGTATCCTGCGGGAACAAATAGCGTATGAACCAATCGTTGGTCACCGGCTACCATGGGACTGCATCTCCATACGATGCTCCACTGCCTTGTGGGTTAGACCTTTAGGTCAAAGGTTCGGGGTGTGGTCCCCTAAGATAACCACCTGCTTCGGTCTGGGCACCCGGGCAGTATCATAGCCCACACGCAATTAATGAACTGAACTGTCTATGATCATGGAAACTAATTCTCTTGTTTCGACGAACATTCAAATGATTCAATTATTATTATTATTATTATCATTATTATTATTATTTACTACGTCATTATTCACCCTCTTTTATTCCTACTCTGTCTATACTTTTTTTTCGACTTATACAGCAGCTCGTCTATGGTGGAAATTCGACTGTATCTAAACGTTCTCGAGTCATTATTCGGTTGAAAATTGTATGTTACCACTGAATATGAGTACTGAAGCAGTTTTTCTGAAATCACATGCACCATTCAGATTGGCTGCCTTCAACGTTCGCACACTTACGCAGGTTGGACAACAGATAGGGCTGGCTATGTCTTTGGAAAGTCTTAATATTGATGTTTGTTGTCTATCCGAGACCCGTATTCAAGACTTTGGCGAAGTACTACAAATTCGCTCTACATATGTCACTTCAAAAAGCTTGTTTTACGTGCGCTTATCCGGGGACCCTGTGGCATCTTCGTCTGGTGTTACTGGCGTTGGTGTCACACTAAGCGCTAGAGCTGAGGCAGCACTAATTGATTGGATCCCCATTAACAGTCGGTCATGTGCTGTTAGATTAGAAAGTTCCATCAAAGTGAGAATAAATCGGCGTGAGAAACGATGTCTTTTCGTCATCTCCGCCTATGCCCCGACGGATTGCAGCCCGGATGCAATCAAGGATGAGTTTTACCACCAGTTATCTGTTCTTCTCCAGAAAGTGCGTTCGACAGATATTGTAGTACTAGCCGGAGACTTGAATGCTCAGGTCGGGCGTCTAGGCACAGAAGAGAGTCGTTTAGGTGGCCGATGGGGACTTGTTGGTCGCAGGACAGATAACGGCGACCGTCTACTGCAACTGTGCAGAGACCACAACCTGTTTCTGGCCAGCACTAACTTTCGGCACAATCATCGCCGATGCGCCACCTGGCATCCTCCCTCTGCATCTCAAGCCTGGACTCACATTAATTACATCGCGATCAGCTACCGCTGACGTGGTTGTGTACAAGACTGCTGCTCCTTCTGGAGTACCTATCTGGACTCTGACCATGCCTTGGTCTGCGCCAATCTTACCTTACTTTTCAGTGGACAACGAAGTGACCACCACCAACGGATTGATGTTAGCAAGCTGGTTGCAACTTCTGTTGCAAGTAAATATCGAACCGAGCTAGCTTCTTGGCTAGCACCATTCCACCGAAAAGTATGGATGAGCGTTGCTTGCAATTGCATGACGCCATGAAAATGGCGGGTACAGTCAGCTGTGGGTTCGCGAAACGTTCCGCATATAAGCACTGGGTTTCTTCTGGTTCCTTACAACTCATTGAAGCCCATCGGTCTACTCCGGGTGACTGTGAGTTTGACCACAAACGAAGGACGTTACGTAATGAAATTGGACAAAGCTTGCGTAAGGACCGAGAAGCCTGGTGGTCGGAGCGTGCTGATGAGTTGGAAGCAGCAGCTGCATCTGGTAATTACCGGAAGCTCTTCCAACTCGTCCGAGCCACTGGCAGCAAGAAGTCTGGTGTGAGCGAAACAACCTGTGAGGATGATGGGATGCCAATCACTAACATCCATCGACGTCTTGGACGATGGGCAGAATTTTTCGAAGGGCAGTTCAACTAGCCTGCTGCTCCGGCAACATCGGTCAGACTGTCCTGCTCTCCATGGCCGGTGACGACTGATCCACCAAACGAGGAGGAAGTTCGCAAGGAACTCCAACTCTTGAAGCGCTACAAATCACCTGGCCCAGATGACTTACCTCCGGCTCTTTTTAAAGATGGTGGTGACTTTTTGACTAAGAAATTGACG